AAAGCGAGCTGGGATCATGATTGGCCTAGCTTGGTTTGTTTCTCTTGTTCTGTGGGCCCCAGCCATTCTACTATGGCAGTATTTTGAGGGTCAAAGGACAGTGCCCTCAGATGAATGCTACATTCAGTTCCTCTCACAGCCCACTATAACATTCTGTACAGCTATTGCAGCTTTCTACCTGCCTGTGACAATAATGAGTATTCTCTACTGGCTCATTTACAAGGAGACCCAGAACCGTTCAAAAGAGTTAGCTGGATTGCAGGGTTCTGGGGGTCGTGGTGGGATAGGAGGAAGAAGTGGAAATGGTGCAGGAGAGACAGCCCGTTTTGTCCATCAGACAGGAAGTTCTAGAAGTTGCAGCAGCTACGAGCTGACCAGGTTGTCCCAGAGAAAGAGCAGATGTCAGGAGCTGGTTGGCCGCTTCCGCTGCTGGCCTGGGGTTCGTTCTTGGAGACCTGGTAGTACCCGGCAGGCGGAGGGTGATCCAGACCAGAGCAGCAGCGACAGCTGGAACAACAATGATGCTGCGATCTCATTGGACCACTCTGGCTCTTCAGAGGATGAGGACTGTGGGAGCAGAGAGATGATATCCCAGAGTCATGCTATTTTCTCCATTGTTCTCAGCCTGCCTGGTATAAAGGCTGCTGTCAACTCCCAACTCACCTCATGTGAAGATCTGGATGCAGCCTCAGAGGAGGATCCCCTCAGGGGAGCAGAATATAACCGGGACAGCCTCTCAACAGTCACCACCAACACCACTGCCGCCACTACTCCCGATGGAGCAATCAATTCAGAAAATAGCTACCACCAACGCTTCTGCTCACGCAAGATTCAATCAGTGCCTACCATCCAGGCTATCTCTAACCAAGGCTCTCTGTATGGTCCACCAACAACTACTACCACTGCCACCAACAGTACTACCACCAGCACCACCACTAAATCCCCCTCTGTCCCAATGTCCTTCAAAGAGGCAGCTCTGGCAAAGCGTTTTGCATCCAGAGCTCGTACCCAGATCACCAAGAGGAAGCGCATGTCCTTAGTGAAGGAGAAGAAGGCAGCTCAAACTCTCAGTGCCATCCTCTTTGCTTTCATTATCACATGGACACCTTACAATATCATGGTGCTGATCAATGCCTTCTGTAAGGTTTGCATCCCGGAGACCCTGTGGGCAGTTGGATACTGGCTGTGCTATGTCAACAGCACAGTGAACCCCATGTGCTATGCACTGTGCAACAAGACTTTCCGCACAACCTTTAAGATGATACTGTTGTGCCGATGGGACCAGAAAAAAAGGAGGAAGCAGCAGTTCCAGCAGAGGCAGTCAGTGGTCTTCCACAGGAGGATTCCCAGGGAGTCCATGTAAAGGACAGGAAGTTTGGTTGGTTGATAAAAAGGAATCAAAAGATTCAACACAGGACTAGGAAAATGAAGAAGCATCCATGTAGTTGTTTCTGTGGAGTTTCTTTGCTCAGAGATCCTTAATGTGTTTCTCTGCTGGCATGTCAAGCACAGCAATCCTATGTGGTGGTCTTGAGGTATGTGTTTGTGTCAGTGCATCCATTTAGCAAAGCTGTGTGTTATGCATGAAGGGCTGTATGAGGTGAGGTCCTGGGATGAAAGCTTTTCCTCTACTACAGCTGAAAGAAAATGAACTGAGCAGAAAATAATAGAAAAGGGCTTTAAATGCATAGCAGGTGAATTATTGAAGTGCAATTGACACAAGGGAAAAGGATATCTTTGTCACAGGGTTGGGGATTCATATTTGTTATAATTTCTCTCTGTGGGTAGATAGATCTGTAACGTGCAGAGTGGTTTTGCATTTCAAACAAAACTATGTATCTGTAATACATCACTGAAAGTCAAGACAAAAACTATTTTGTGTTCACAGGCTTCTGCATTGTACTGATTTGACCTACCATCCTCTTGACTGGCAAGTGTTTTTATCAGAACTTCTGTACATTGCCTTTTTACATGGATATAGCTTTCCTGTGTCTGATGGAATATAAAAAGTTCTTAAATTGTGTCCTTACTTTCAGTCAACACAGATCTGTTATTTTTGTGATATTCATCTTTGGTTTTCTAGATATTCCTGAGATTTTGAGCCAGTCTGAAAAATGATTCTTCTGATGAATTGAGTTGTGAATATTCTGTGTGGCACCACAGTCAGTGAACTGCTGTTGTGTTCAATGTGTTTGTTGTGGTTTTTATGGTGGAGACAATAAGTACATTGGTTGTGTTTTATGTACTTGCAGTTCTCTGTCAAGAGTAATGATTATATGGTGATAATATTCTGTTTGTGTCCATTTGGATATTTCTGACTTGATACACAATGACTGATTGCACACAAAGATGTCCATTTATAAAGATGTGTGTTTTGATTTTACACTATCTTTTAAATTTCTACTAAATGATATATCTAATAAGGCCTCATCTTTGATATAGTAGAGCAGTGGCAGCCTCTAGTGGCCAGAGGAAGACCTGTTGTCCAGGCTGTGTCCCTGTCAGTCCAACCCCTACAGCGCAGTTTCAAAATATAATTCTGCCAATATGAAGACATAAAATGGCCACAGTCGTTGAAGGTACAATATTTGAACTTTCGGTCATAAGATGTTTTTTTTTAGTTGTGAAGTTCATGAAGACCTTTAGCAATTGATTGATTGATTTGGTCTACAGTACATCAGGGTTTTCTATACAGAAAGTGGGCACACACCACATACCAACAAAAGTCATCATAAAGATGCAAACCAAGGCAAGAATTTATTTAAATTTTTTATTTGTAATGCACATTATGTTATTTGTATCTTCTTATCTTATCTTATCTTGGTTTTTACATTGTTGCTGCACCCAAATCTTGAATTAGGGATGCAGCAATCCGACTTTTTCAGTCCCGACACCAATACCTGGGCTTTGGGTATCAGCTGATCCCGAGTACCGATCCGATACCATTGTAAAATTAATAAGCTGTATTCCTCACTGTGAGGAAGACACTAAGAATCATTCTTTTATGTGCAAGGCAACATCAGGCTTGATCAAGTGTGAAATACCTATAAACTGCTGACCCCTCCACACTATGTTCTCCCAGCAAAATGTTGAGCTCTACAGACGCACTGCTGATGCATTACGTAGTACCCCTGTAATTGAATTAAATAGATCAGCCCCATAGATTGCCTCCCTTTGTCACGGATACCCACTCCAGCTATTTGAATCAGTATCGGGTCGATATCCAATATCAGTATCGGATTGGTGCATCCCTACCTTGATTATTGAAGGCAAAAGATATACTGTATTATGATGACAGCTGGCATACTGAAGAATGAATTGATTGGATTATGTTGGATGCAAACGAGATGTTAAACAATATCTCACATAGTGGATATCATTGGATGTTTTATCTGCTTTCAACACAATGTGCTCCATTGTCATAATACATTCTTCATCAAAATAGGAGATTTTTGTACTTAGATATTGGGAATGTAGAATACCAAAATGGTAAACACAAACATTTTGTTACATTTCAAGTATGTCAATCATACTCATATTTTAAGTCAATAAAAAACCTTTTTGACAGAAATGATTTGTTTTCTTGTGTCGCAAGTCATGATTGTGTTTTAATCTCTTTCTACCTTTATTTATTTAGCCAGGGTGGGTTCACTGAGTATCAGTGCTTTTTCATTAATGCCTTGTCTCACACTGACACTATTACACACATGCACATCTAAGACCTCTTTTATACTGCAGCCCCTGAACACCCCAGCAGGTTGGTGCCTTATTCAAGAGCACTTCAGCGGTGGGTAATGGGGTTAAGTGTTTTTAAAAAAAAATTATATTTTGCAAATTTGGTATGTTATCTGATGTTGGCATTTTGCCATCAGTGCTAAAGTGTATTGTCTCATAAAACAATAATACACAATACAATGCATAGTGAACTCTCTGCATGCTCCAAGTATTAGTAGCATCAGGCAGTTACGGTGCAAGTTCTAAGCCTCAGTCAAGGGCACTGACAGGAGAAGTAACCCAACATACATGTTTTTAATTGTGGGGGAAACCAGAGCAAAGAAACACATTTTCATGGGGAGAACATGCAAACTCCACACAGTTAAAGCCTTACTTAAGAATTATCAGAAAACTTAATGTATCAAAATTTAACATATTCATTCCGCAGAAAAACTTTTTTACCATTATAAATGATGTTCTGGGCTTAATATTACTGTTGCATTAATGTGTATGTTACATTTTATTGTTCTAGTTGTTTAAGTTTGTGCTAATTCGAAATACTTTATATACAGTTAATCTACAGCAATGCATACCCTTCTTTAAGATCATAATATGTTTGTAGCGCTGCTGTCCCATGTTTTCAGTTTTAAAATTTGTAAAACATTTGCTTCTGAGATGTAGCTGCAATACCTCAAATTTGTAATTAAGTACAGTACTAGAGTAAATGAACTTTCCTTACATTCCACCACTGCTTGTAAAAACCACCAAATTTGGATTTTTTGCTTTTTCAATCCAAATAATTTCATCATCATAGATAATCATAGACTAGACTCGTAGACACTAGTCGTGGCCATTTCATTTTTACGAGAAAACACCAGCCTCTTTAAAAAGTATGACCTTGTTATCTTTGCAGGACCCTTGGTCATTATACAGCTGTAGAATTAATAACCTGCCACTAAAATGTTGTCTAGAGAGTATTGCATGATATGATAGGAGTCATTTTTTTCTGTAAATTATAAAAAAAATCTCTCGAATCTTTATGAGGGTGATAGATTCAGGGGTCTACCTGCCCTTTCACAGTTAAATGTATTAACTCCTTTATATTTACTATAACCTTTTCCCCCCTATGACTATAACCTGTATTTTTTTAAATGAGCAATTAGGGTCACTGAGATGTCTGGTAAACGCTTATGTTGGAAGGACACAGCTGAAACTCCTTTCTTGATTGGAGGGATGGGCTTAAAAATGGTACCAGGGTGCACTAAACCAAAAGAAGAAAGCCCTGATTGACTTGGTGTTCTGTGTGCAGGCGGAAGCAGAAGCTTCTGTGTGCTCTGTTAAATATGGTTCCTGCATCACTGTCTGACACTTCCATAGCATTAGCATTGATTGTCTAATTTTAAACTGAATAAACACAAGCGTGATCTTTGACTGTTGCACAGTTCTGCATGTTCCCATGATGAGGCTTGATGAAGTTAGTGAGGGGAGTCTCAGACAGTGCTAATGGGAGATGGCCAAGGAGACCAGGCATGTGACAAGGAAAATACCAACTTCATGTGACCCATGGCTAAGGAGCGGCTCATAGGCGAAGACAAACACCCATTTGTGTTTTTTTCTTCAGTCAGTGCTGATCCACTGAGGAAGATCCACCAGTCAGGCAAGTACAATGTCGTTTATAATATAAGTTTAAAGCTTTATCCACAGTTTCTGCATAATTTCATATATAGTTAAATCTGACTACAAATACTACAAATCTGACTCATGTTGCGAAGTGATTAAATAATATATGTTGGTTTAACCAAGAACAGACCACCATTTTCTGAAGTGCTCAAGAAGAAGAAACTTTTATCAGTTATTCACTTTAATGAACGTGTGAGCTGGCAATATCTGGTGGATGGATGGATGGATGGATTATATCTTCATTTCAAAAAAAGTGTATGCCGTTTATTTATTTATGTGTAATTGTTTTCAGCCACATAATTTGCTTTATAACTTTTAACCACTTAAGTAAGAATTCGTCAACTTTATCTGTACCACACCCATAGGGAATAATCAGTCCTTGATGCAGGCCCACATGCATATGCAATTAAATAAATATCCACTATTAGCTCTAAGAGATGTTTGTAAAAACATGTCTTCCATAATAATACTGTACTGTGTTTTTAACTGTAGACATAATATGTATCACCTGAGAACTTTTTATCGGTAAATGGCAGTTTCAGCAATTTTTCCTCAAGAAAGGAATCAAAATGAATTATGATCCCTGTATACAAAAAAAGAGAGACTTCTTATGTCAGCTTGCCCTTATATTCAACTTTTACCTCATGACTCCACTAAGAAAATGTTAATAAATATAAAATGAATAAATGTGATTTTAACTTCTTCTTGTCCTTTTATTCCAACCGGTCTAGATTGTCTTCCCCCTGGGTGAAGCCACAGTGGTCAGGATGCAGTCTATTAAGACAGTGGAGACTCAAGTGCCCTTTCTGAAAGAGAGTTTCTTTACTACCACTTTCAAAGGCAGGAGGAAGAGCAGTGTTTCCAATATCCTCCGCAAACAACAGCACTCACTCCTTAATCAACAATGTCAACAACAACAGTGCATTTTAGAGCACCAGCTGCAGCATCCTAAGCTATTTCTTTTCCCGTCGGTCGAAAATGGAGAAGGGCAACGCACACCAGAGCATCAGCGCCTTGCTCGCTCGAACAGCAGCCCGTTATGCAAGACAGCTGAGCGTGCAGGAGCAGATGGGGATAGAAAGGAGGGGCAAAAGGAGAGGAAGGATCAGAGAGTCAGAGAGGCTGTGCAGGAAAGTGGGGGGGAGCGAGTAGTGAGTGGTAGTGAGCCCGCGGCTGTCAGTGCTAGTCTCCTCCTCCTTTCATCATCAGCATCAGCGGCACTGGGGAAGGCAGCATCATTCTCCCAGCTGCCTTTAACTGTAGTGGGCAGACAGCAGGGATTAGGCGGCTCTGAAAACACTCCAACCAACAGAGGACAAGCATCAGTAGCAGCCCATGAGGAAGCCCTGCTTTCCCAGCCTCGACCCCAACAGCATGGCCTGTTAGCCAAGGGTGTCCGCCTGCTCAGGAACATGGGGAACCAGGAAACCAAGCAGAAGAAAGGAGGAGGAAGTGGTGGAGCAGCAGGGGACGTCTCCGGTAATGGTGATGCTGGTGAGAGGGAAGTAGACAAAAAATCTAAAAAGTCCCACAATAAGATAAGTAAAGGAGGAGAACATACTGGTAGGAAGAAATCAAAGTCAGAGTCGAAGGGTTCTGTGTTTTCTGGTATGAAGATCAGGAAGAGTTTATCAAAGGCCAAAGGGTTGTCTAAGGATGACTTGTTGGAAGATGGGAGTTCAGCGAACTTTGACAAAGCAGGGCTTAAGCCTGGTGCAGAGTCGAGCCTGTCAGCTGATGAGATGGGCATGCTATCAGATGCTGAGGGGAACCTAAGCCGTTTGACCACAGACAGTCACCAATCTATGTTTGACGAGATTGGCCGGAAGACAAGCTCTGGGTCGGATGCTGACCTTTACAGTTTTCACTCAGCAGCAGCTGAAAATGAAGACCTGCTCTCTGACATCCAACAGACCATAAGAGACCAATGTATGGCAAGTGAAAAAGACCCAGAAAAGGAAATATCTCACCAGCTATTTAATTTGGATATGGAAGTTTTCTTTCCCCCAGATCGTAGCGAATGCATATCTCAAGAATTAAGCGAAGAGAATAAGGAACTACAGAAAGAAAGCGGAGTCATACCCATATCAAGAAATTCATCTGGTCCAGGGTCCCTGAGTGGGAGTGGTCCATCATATTCAGGCCCAGATAGCAGTGGCAGCCTTTTCCCAAAGACTAACAGCACATATAGCTTCCCTGACACTACAGCCACCACCACCTCGTATGAGAGTGCTGAGGAGCCCCAGGATGACCTGGAGAGCCCGGTTCAGCAGCATCAGGATAATCTGACTGCACAGAGCACATGTGTGCCGTGTGTCCGCTTGGATCCTGTGGTGGCAGGGGCGGGGCCGATGGGGCCTCAGAAAAGTGTGAGCAGCATGGATCTGTCTATGGAGAGGGAGGGTGAAGAGGAAACCGGGAGACGGGACTTCCTGTCCCTGAAAAGGAGGAAGAGTAGTTTGTCTATTAGCCTGCTGGTAACAGACGGTGCACCTGTTTCTCAGCCTAGACGGACCTCCTCCAACTCCCCCTCCACTGTTAAACTCTACCCTCCAGTCCACCCCTCCTATGTTAAGACCACCACCAGGCAGCTCACCTCTCCAGTTAGCTCCCCCATTACCAGCCCCCATGTGCCCAGGAAAACAGATGCCATGGATACTTCAGTGGAATCCAGTGGGGCCAAGGGATTTAGGAGGCACAAGCAGAGGTCCTGCTCCATTGCTGGGCCCATCGGTGTGTCTGTGGACTGGTCCACAGAGCTAGATGAACTAAGAAGAAGACAGGGTGGCTGGGCCAAATTCCCAGAGCAGGAGAAACCAGAAAAGAGTCACACAGGTGGGATTTACTGGACACTGGGCTCCAGGAGAGCACATGGCCGGCAGACCTCCACTACTGCAGTACCCTACCTGGATGTCTTCTCTGGTGAGTCACAAATAACACAAGTAACTGAACTGTTGCCACACATAATGCTCAATCAGACAGATATGAAGTGAAGTTAATAATAAAACACAGATTAGACTTTTGGTATAGACTTCCCCTCTGATTAATGGATGATTATCGAAAATAATCCCATAATCCATTAGCAACATAACCCAACATCTTGGCCATCATTGCACTGATTCTGAATGGCATTGTGATGCCAGTAGTAGTGGCTGGATGTTGAAATCAACTTGAACATCAGATGTAACTAATTTTCATATATAAAGACCACAGTGATTAGTGATGGCTTCCTATTTTGGTAAGAGGGAATGAAAATAAGCCATAAGATCAAACCATCCCGTCAATAATATTGACGGGATGGTTTGATCAGGGATGGAGTAGCAGGTTTAAAACCATTTAGATGATATATAGATATGGGAAAATATGAATGGACAGGAACCGAGGTCTGTAATGAATAAAGAAGTAGAGAAGAAAGAATTTAGAAGGAAATAGTCTTTCTGACTGAAAACATCTGGCAGGTGTACTTCACAGCCCAACAATATGTAAAAAAACAACAACAACAACCCTGCATTTAAATACTGTTAGCTAAAGCCCCACATTATATGTATTATGCATAACTATTTGCATTAATTCACATATAGATCAGACATGAAGAATAAGGCTGGTTATATATCATTTACTTATTGTCAACAAATCCCATAAAATATACCAACACCAGCAGTTTAGTCCCTCTCTCAATACTTTCTGACTTCCCCGCCTATCTGTCAAACTCCATTTGTTCCAACATAAATTAAAAACAAAACAAAAGAAACACTACTTATTTCCCGAAAACATCTGGGCACTGTGGCTTTCAGCAAATGTTACTCAGCAGTAAACTGTGCATTTGTTGCTGACTATTTTCACCTGTGGATTTTGTAAAAATAAAAAACCTATTCCCACATTGGTAATGAAGGAACATGTCACCCAGTGCAAAGGTGTGATTCATTATTGTTTATGTATTGTTTTTTTGACAACATTTGGCACATAGAAATAAATCTACATCAGGCTTAATTACTGTTAGTTAATATAAGCCATACTTGTTAGGATCAATACATTATTGGTTATGGTCGTTTCATAGGATTTGGCAGTGAGAGAAATGTAGAATATCACCAGACTTACCCTTTTAATGTAGTAGAGAATAGTCATTCCTTTTATTGACTTCTCAACAACTTTTTTTCTGACTAAGCAATGTATTCAAGGAAAACAAAGAGTTCTTCTCTTAAAATATTTAGTAGTAAGTTAGTACGTCTTTTATGACTATTGTTGCTGGGAATCCCCAAAAAGGCCGGATGTGACTCCTATTTGTTTGGCTTCAAGTCCCATCCTCATTTGAGATTAGGTTATTATGTTATGGTATTGTGAAATGATTATAGTAATTGCCTAGTGATTAAATTCTAATGACTTACAAATGATCATATTATACTAATGATCACAGTAGGAATACTAAAGATGATTTAAAAGTACAATAGCTCATGGAAGCCATGACGAAACAGTGGGGGTTCTTTATTGAGGAGTGTCTTCAGAACAAATGACTCCTGTAATAAAACAATGCCCCTTTCTGTTGTGGTGCCTTTCAAGAGCTCAGCTGCTCTCCACTGTCTGCGCCTGTGCTCATAAATCAGAGGACCGAATGACAACACTGCCACCCACCCAAGGCGATGCCATTCTCTGATTCCAGACAAAACACACACATATACACATAGTGCACACTTGTGGATGCTAAACCCAAGTGACAGTTTATCTGCATGACAAGAATAAATCATGATGCGAGATCCATTCGAATTTCATCAGGTGAATTTACTATAGCCAAATAATAGAGCGTCGTTTGGCCTATCTGGCATTTTATAATTGTAGAACACATTGCACTGTTTTTCTTCACAAAGACTCTCAGCAATGCATGTGACATCCATCAGTTCAGCACATCTTCTAGGTCATATCCAGCCTTTGGGAGGGAGTGGGAAGACAGAGAGGATAGAGGGAAAATTAGAAGAAAAGCTGATTAACTGTAACTGTCCAACAAATGAGAACACATTTTCTGATATGCTGAACTCAAATGGATTTAAATGCTTGAACCTGAACTGATTTGACTCTGGATTTGAATTCATTAGTGTTTGTCAAACACAACACTCCACAGTACTTAAATTAATGTCCACAAGGAAGTCACAAGGCCCAACCCACTGAATAATCCACAGACCATATTACTAATGTAGAAGACTGTTTTTGTTTATTCTTGTTCTCGTTTATCATAACTTCAAATCAGTTTTCTGCAGTTGCCACAGCTCTGCTGGGTTGTGAAATTGACACTGTTGCTCAATGTATGTGTGGAGACTAGTAGAAAGATTGGTAGCGTCTCAATTACGTTTGAGGTTTCATTTCCTTTTCTTTTTATAAAATCCAAATGTTTTCTTTATATTGATTGATTCTCTGTTTTATTACCTTTCAATTTAATACTGTAACAACTTAAAATGTACAGACCTATATTGCATGACTTCCATAAGTTGTGACACCTTGCGTCACAATGTGTTTTCTTCTAGTCACATAGTCAAAATTTTTTCCACCTCCTAGTGATTATTTCTCCTCCTGCCATCATCAAGAAACAGGATTCTTCCTCATCTGGGATCCAAATCTGTTCAGATATTTTGAAATTATGACAAATTTCTGTAATGTTTTTCACAGCTCAAACTCACTTTTCTTTCACACTCTAGTTCCATGACAAAAGACTTCTTCATTTGCCTGATTACCAAGACAGAGACAATCTACTGTGTTTTTTAATGTATTGTATATCCAAATGTAGAATTAACAAGCCCTAAAATCACACAACATAGTTAAGTCATGTGCTTTTTTTCTCTTTCCAAACACCCAAACCCCACTTTTTAATCATGTTAAGTTTATCCACCATTGTTTTAAAACTACTTCAAAATAATAGTTTAAAATCTGAGAGCGATATTAGATGTACTGGTAACTTGTGTCTTGAATGTCATTTAGCATTTATTAAATTCTTTGCACGGCACAATTAACACCATCTCTCTTGTCACCCACATGTAAATGGTGTGAATAACGTTTGCATGTGTAGGTGTTTAATTATCACATCTCAAACTGAAACTGAGAAATCTCTTTTCAACTCTTTGACCAGAATAACACAAGTTCTCTTCTTGGCTCACCTAGTTATGCTAACTAAAAATAAGTAATATGACTCCGTATTCAGGATTTATTTACCTGAATATCCTTCTCCAGCATAGATATTGGAGCTCTGTATGCTCCAAGCCAGTTTCATTCTTGCACTTCACATCTCTTCTGTTCTCAGGTCGTGCTCTGCTGGACTGGCTGTGCGTGGATCATGGGGATGAGTCTACAGAAGAGGAGGCGAAAGAATTGTGTCACCGAATGTTGGTCCAGAGTCTGTTGCAACCCTTCAGTGACAGCACCGCAGAGCTTTATGGTGACAGCACTCCCTCGGCTGTCTTTAATGTAAGAGCTCTGTCTTTATTGTCATCACGCTTGTTTTAAAATAACGATGACACCAGCTGCCTTCCATCAGCTCTGCCCAAAGCTTAACTGACTTTGCTGAGGTTTTTGTTCATCATACAGTAAAACTAGATTAGTGGGTATGTGACCTTCTCAAACAGCATTGATTTTTTACACAACCCAAGGTATCCATTTTGTGTTAAAAATATAAAGGTCAAAATTTCACACCTTGACAGGCAATAACTGCAGCATCACAGCTCCAATTTCAATTAAACCTCAGTTGTAATGCATCTTGTTCGTGAATCTCCCAAGGGCTGGAGGATGAAGTGAATAACATTTGTCACATTACCTTTTCATATCAATGTATTGCCTGAAGAAAGTATAACAAGGGCTGGTATGCAAAAAAGAGCACATAAGATGGAATACTCAAATAACGTAGCACAAAGCTGTTTATTTACAGTATATAGAGTCACAGCAAAGCTTATCCAATCTGTGTTTCTATATTTAACGCTGCATTGCTGTGATTCAGCCCAGACACATTTCATTATCTGAAGAGCAGTGTGGCATGTAGACAGGATGACCATGTGAAAGTTGATTTCATGAATCTTTAATTCTCCATTCCAGTAATGCTTTGCTCAGACCTAATCTCATGTGCATCACATTCCCCTGCACAGCCACTGTCAAAACCCATTTCCGTCAAGTTCCCCTTGTAGCTATAACTTCATGCTGGTATACTGTAGGTTTGAGTTAAGGATATATTAGTTTAAAATTAATATTGCCATATATTTATTAGAACTACTCTACCTTCACTGAGTGTGTATGTTTTAATCCATTTCACATAATCTACGTGTGGATGCATATTCCAGCTTCGCATGTGTCTTTATGTCTCAGAAGTAAAGAGAATGAAATTAATTATCTTTTTATTCATTGTGAGACGTTGATATGAGCATAATTATCTCTTTTTATCAGTATTGTTATTTTACCCACACTAGCAGTTTGGCTCCACAGCTGGCATGTCGATCAACTCACCACTATTTGATGAATTACCATGAAATTTTCCACAGACATTCATTGTGCCCAGAGGATTAATCTTGATGACTTTTGTGATTTCCCCTGGCACCACCAATTGGGTGTTTTCACTTATCCAGTAAAATATCTCAACAATTACGAAATGGACTGACACAAATGTTTGTACAGACATTCAAGGTCCCCAGACATTTACCCTACTGACTTCCACTATCTTTTCCTCTAGCGCCATCATCAAGTCAACATTTCTTTATCCAGTACTTTGACTTATGACCAAATGCCAGCAAACAATGATTAGCGTTTGTCTCTTACTGCACAATGCACCTCCCCCACGGATGTTCATGAATATACATACACTGTATATGCTTACATAAAGGTACAGTATGCATACCTAAACACAAACAACTACACACACACAAAGACAAAAGTGAGGTTAGTCACCAGAGCATGCATGCTCTAAAGTTATGTTCATATAAAGGCAAATCTCTCAAACACAATCATATCCTACTCTGTTTTGTGTAGTGTGCAGTCACAATATGCCACAAATGCAGAGCACTTTCTTTTTATGTACAAATCCGCCACATGTGTACTCATATATATATAAAAAGGACACCCCGAGACACCCATACACGTACAGGCATTTCCTCGCATGGCTGGATTAATAGCAGTTCCTCTGACACTCACTCAGTCACACACACAAGTGCACACACATCTGTGCTTGCGTAGACCATCTGCTGACCATGTTATGTAACAACTCCACGTGCCCAGGGCTCAGGCTGCTCTTCCCCAGCAAAAAGCTCACCATGTCAGGATTGTACTCCGGGCCTCTCTTTATGTATTTATTTATTTATTTATTCTATGTGTCCCCACTCTGCCTCCTTCAGTCTAGGGCTTGGCCTGTAGTCCTGTATTATTCAGCTTGACCAAGAACAACCTTTGCTGTTGCCATTGAGAATACAGATCTCATTGTTATTGTTAACAGCTCTTACAGCTAATCCCCTTTTTGAAATAAATCATAATATCTCTGCAACATTTTCACTTTAATAACCCCTTTAATATCTCAAACATTTATATTATTTTTCCTTTTACAGTTAAATTCCATCTTGAAATGAATCACTTACTCCTCCTGTCTTCTCTTCCTCCATCTTCCTAACCTTTTTATTTTCATCATTATCTCTCATCTCCTATTTGTCCTCTACTTTGCTACCTAAATATGGCATTGTATCAGATTTCATTGCTGTATTTTGCTGGAGTGAACAGATATATGAATGGTTTGTTTCTTGTTCTGCATACTGCCTGAAATTAAATACACCATTAGCTTTATTCAGTCTAAAAATGGGGTTTGGGGAGGATGAGTATCTAAGAGCTCTGTATAAATCAAGTGTCTTCCCTTCTATACTTGCCAAAACATTGCTGAGTGGATAAGTACTAATGAGGGTCATGGGCGTGTGTGTGTGTGTGTGTGTGTGTGTGTGTGTGTGTTTTTCTGGCTCTCACACATCAACTCTTCACACAAATTAAGTGCACATTTATATGGTCTAAATGTTTAATGATTTGCTTTACACTGTAGTGTATTCACTGCATGGCATAAAGCTCTTTATGCCTGTTACTTGGGAAATAATTACTTGAAAATGGAAAGCTCCCAAGAAAAACAAGGAAAGATCAAATTTTTTTGGAATAACTTGATTACTGTGACTTTTGCAAAAGGTACAGCAAGCCCTGTTAGATTTGACACACATTCTCAGTCTGTTGTAGTGTATTATCTATAGTCTTGTGCACTAATTCTCAGATTATTATAGCTGCTTGTTCCAGGTGATTAATAAGGTATCACCTATTTAAGAAATGTAACTTGTTTATTAAAAGAATTAAGCAGTTTTCACGGTGACCAGGGACCATATTGCAACAAACTGACTGAACAGGCAATTCCTTGGATTATTATTTGCCATGGAGACTGACAGATGCCTGACTAACTGCAGCTGTGATTGTGGAACAGTAGCTTTTTTGATACTTAACAGGAAGATGAAGAAAAACCAACGAAGCTCAGGGATTGCATATCAAGGCATCTTGAAAGCAATGTTGCATCCAAATGTCAGAGTGGTTATGAAGTGGACCATCTGAAGAGAGGAGTGGGGAGAAGGAATGCAGGAATAATTCTTACAATGTGTTCTTAGCCTCCCTTTTAATCTCTTACCACTGACGCTCAGCCTTTAATAAATGAGGTCCAACAGGACGCCCAGATCATTTAGTAATGTCAAGTGGAGAAATCATGTTTCAGGTTGGAAGTTTTGTTGAAAAAACAAATGCAGGCAGGACAGTTAACTTTGAAAGCCAGAAATCAAGCTCAGCCCATGTACCTTTTTTAACTTTCACAGTCTCAAGTTTTGAGTACTACACTGACTATGCACAACACTTGTTTACAGTATGAGCTAGCACTTGACTGTTTGCCTCATGGTACATCCCACCATGTGTTTACACTGTATGCCATATGCATTAGGTACCAGTCCTTGGTGGGAGCAAGTTGTTTTAAGCACAAACCTCTGGTCTTGTTTACAGTATATGCACGTTTGTTATCTAATCTCTGTGTAGGAGGAGCAGCTATACACCTGGGCATCTGTAGGCCTGCCGGTATCGTCTCACCTGTGGGAACTCTATGGGGGGCGAACCACAGGCAGAGAACAGAGCTTGAGACCCTCATTGCATCAATCACCAGCTAAGACACCAGGAGCTCTACACTCTCAGGTTGGTTGCATCCTCTCTTCATCTATAAATATTTTACAGTATGTCTGCACACTGAGAGAATTTTCCTTCTGTTAACCTATTATTATATTAATACAGTATATTAGATAATTAAATATTGTTTTTGGCCTTTTGTGTGTACCTCCTATTTGTATTTTTAACTAAAAGTATTTTACCAAAATAGAATGTTATATTTAATATTGTTATCCTTTTAAAACCATATCATGTATTGAATTATACATTCAGTTCAATTACATAAATATCTTTCTGCAAGACCCACTTGCTGACTGATACATTCATTGCATGCAGTACAACTATGGTGTTTTCTTGTATAAGAAGGCTGAGAATTACTTGATTTAGCCTAATATGAATAAAACGCCCAAAAATATTGCATCTTTTTCAGCACACACAGTTAAATAAAGGGTTGTACAGAACATGACCTGTGTGACCTGTTGAGGAAGACAGTAAACCTCACAAACTGCACTGGATAAGCTGCATCAGCCTCAACTGTAAATTGTTCTTTGTCCACCAGAGGTCAGACTTGCCTTGAAAGACTTGTTAGATTATCACAGTGAAACCTCCTGGAAGAGTTAATAAATTAGGAAGACTATACTGACATATATACATATACAACATCCTCCTTAAGATTCAACGATGTGACCACAACTGGGGAATGTGTACTAGCAGACACACACCCTCCCCATGTGAGGCCCAACGAGACTTACTGTCTCTGGGGTCAAATCTCTCTGTATCCCCTCATCCCGGTCTAACCAGTCTGGAGCCAGAGGTCTAGACATAATGGACTTTCTTGACCCTTCTTTAGCTCATAGCTCTGTCACCAGGCTCCATCAGTTGTGGGTGTTTTACTGTTTATAAAGTGTAATTTATTGAATGATAATGTCTTCAAGATTTAACAGTAAAACTTTTTTTCTGCTTTTCAACATTTCAACAGAGTAAATTGGCTTGTCTGACTGTTTTTAGAGAAGGTTTCATGTAAGGAAAGCACAACGCATAAACTCATGGGTTTTTATTGTCTGCATATATGAACCCTAATGTAGTTGCATGTTAAGTTAAAATCTTTTTTTTTATTTTTATTTGTTTGCTGACAGACAGATTCCAGCAGGTTGAAGTCAGGTCAGTCATCCTCAGAGGATGAAAGCTGTCTCATCCCTCAGTTGGAGAGGACCATCGATGACCTGCGGATTAAGATTGCTGTGTTGCAGGGCCAGCAGTCTTCCTTGGCAAAAGGAAGCTTGGATATTATGGGAGCTCTGGGAACTGCCCACCACAAGGCCTCACAGATAAGAGGAGGAAGATTGGGAAAGATGAGCCAGGAGGTGTCTGTCCAGACCTCGCCAGTGGAGGAGGGTTTTAAATTTGACGTGCCTTTCAATGGAGGATCAGGCAGCACGTCATCCTCTGTGTCATCCTCCATCCCCAAATCTACAGAGAGCTTTGTCTGCACGTGCCAGCAGAGGCGACAGGGCAGCGTCCGTCCAGCCCCCCTGCCCGTCCCTCCCCCTCCAATCTCTGGAGGTATGCCCCCGCCTCCACTATCACCACCTTTACCAGGGGGCATCGCTCCTTCTTCTCCCCCACCACCTCCCCCATCCTTGCCTGGGCTTCGACCTTGTCCACCACCTCCTCCCCCACCTCCTCCTCCACCACCGCCTCCCCCACCTCCTCCTCCACCACCAGGTTTTGGACCTCCGCCACCTCCTCCCCTACCTGGTTTTGGACATCCACCCCCTCCTCCTCCAGTGCCAGGTATGGGCCCTCCTCCACCACCGCCTCCCCCTGGAATGGGCCCCCCTCCTCCACCCCCACCCCCAGGCTTTGGGCCTCCACCACCACCAGGCTCCATGCCCTCCATGATGGCCCAGGAAGCTCCCCCTGCCAAGGCTGTTATAGAGCCCCCCAAGCCAATGAAACCACTCTACTGGACACGCATACAGCTGCATGCTAAAAAGTAAGGATATGCTGTATAAAGTGAAGATAGATATGGATCATTTGTGCAAAGGTATTCTCTGAACAGTAGAGAATTGAGAGGAAGCTTGTCCACTTAAGATAAAGATCAACCGCGTGCTGCGACGGCAATAGAGATGCTAACCTTGTGGAAAATAAAAGTGATGCAGTCCAGGCATTGTGGTCAGCAGTGATTTGACTTGAACCAGGTTTTCTTTCCTTAATAAGGCTTGGAAAATTGTAGTTGAACAAATGTCTACAAATAGACTACTTGATTTACTTGCAAGTGAGGAACATGATACTGAATTCTAAATTTGCTGGCTGATGGATCTGATAAGTGTACTTTTGGATTTTTACTCTGCAAAAGATGACAAATGCATACACATAAAACAGCAGAAGACACTTGAGAATTGTAAAAATGGCTATTTGTGGTGAAATAACAACATGAATTATACTACAAAAGTGGAATTTGGTAGACAATAAGTGGTAGATACAAGCTCGCCTACTTGCACTGTAAATAATTCCTCTTTTCTCCTGTCTTTAGACCCACTGACTCGCTGGTGTGGGAGAAAATTGAGGAACCAACTGTGGACTTCAAAGAATTTGTGGAACTATTCTCCAAAGGTGCCGTGAAGGAGAAGAAAAAACCAATTTCAGACACATTCAGCAAGTCCAAGGCCAAGCAGGTAAAGTATGTTATATGGTAGTATGTGTGCGTTAATTTCTGTTTGTCTATATATACAGTATACAACATCAAATTTGAATGAATGCAAATGCATGTATATTTGTGTGTGCACATATCCCCCTGGGTCACCATTTATGGCACTCTTCAGCGCTTTTCCCATCTTCACTCTCACTCCTCTGAAGACCCGTTCCTTTCCATTTCTTCGCTTTCTGAGTGACAGGAAGAACTGCTACAGCCAGACAGTTATTATGTGGTGTGAGCTCTGGCTCCCACCCGACTCCCCCATGACCATCCATTGGCACCGAGCCAATGTCTCGCGTGCGGTGAGGAAACCTCACGACGGTAATGACTGTTCAGAGAGAGCAAGAGAGAGGAGAGAAGGAAAAGGGGGAGAAGCCTGGGAGCTGTATTTCGTGATGTGGTTCCTCCCATTGTGCTTTCTGTATGACTTAGTTTAATAGCCAGACTGTTTGCCTCCCCAATGCCCTTTGTCACTCCATCAATCTGCAAGTCAAACATTTGATCTACGATTTAAAGTTGCTCTAGTCACGATTTTTATGTTAATGTACTATTTGCCCATATTATGTGTCTAAATCACAAATAATGTTGCACCAGGGAAAATCGTTTTATCCGTCTAATTTAGACCCAGTAGAATCAAGTAGAATCAAGAAATATAAAATATAAAACCTTCTCCAAAAAAGTTTCCAGCTGAATGAAAGTTTGACTTATGAATAATAGTTGAACTACTCTACCTTAACATAATAATAATAATAATAATAATAATAATATTTAGATCTAATTGAGTGTTTTCTGAAGCCACATTAGCTATTTCAAAATTTACAATGCTGCATTTACCCTTGACACATGGTCCACTCAGGGTGTTGGACAGTTGATCGACCTTTCATCACAATTTACTGTCCACCGGGACATTTCTTTAGCCTCAAGCTTTAATATTTTCTGCTATTGGGGCACAACTGTGGATCCTTTTTAATCTTCAATCATTTTATGGTATTTTATAAGCTAGGGAATTTTATGTAAAATCTGGATCTCCAAAGTATCTAGTAGTACTAGTAGTAAATGTATAAATAAATGTAGTGGATTGAAACATACAATATTTTCTTGACAAACAGTTGAATAAAAGAATACAGTAACAGAAAATGGAAATACTTAAGTACCTCAAAAGTTTACTTGAGTACAGTGCTTGAGTAAAAGTATCACAAATTGTATATCTGAGACCTGGAGATCCCCAGCCTCTGTGTATTCCGTTTTAATCTGTTCATGGGTTCTCTGTTTTTATGAGGAATATGCACGTACCAGGAAGTGACATGGTCACAGCGGTAGCAAAGTTATGTATAGGAAAGGAGAGAAAAAAACTCACCTTGCAGCTTTGATCCAATAGAACACAAAAGTCAATAGCGATGGGAAAAGGCAGATAAGCTAAGTGAGTTTGCATTTCACAAGAAAATCACACTTTCATACAGGAATTGCTTTTCAAACACACTTCAAAAATAGCCGTCATCAAGCATGTTGACTCTCCAGGAGCTGTTAGATTATGTTAGGTTTCTTCGACAATTGAGAAACACAACAGAGGGAAGTCACTTCTACAGAGAGCAGCACAACACCTGCGAATCTAGATATAGGAGATGACACAAGGCAGGGAGATGGGGAACAACCAGAATGAGTGTCTTCTTCCCTATTTAAAGAGACTTTCCTTGATGTGATGGTCTGATTGATGGAACTCTGGATAAGTCTGCTACCACATCATGAAGCAGCTCGTGTTGCGGTTGTATTGCTAAATTGTGAGAGACAAGAGACAAATTGAGGTGGGTGTGGGTTGAATTCCCTTGGTCATCACCGCATGATACTGCTGCGGATGTTCGCCAACGCAACAATGGAGTTGAAGATATTAAAGTCAATAGCAGAAAAATAAATACATGCAGTACGTACAGTAGAACTGTGACTGACCTCAAATTGGAGCCAACCCATGACATTTCCAGCTCATGAGGGCCGGCCCCAGACCCCAAAATGATCCATCCCATCTCATACTACTTGCAGCTATTCCCATCCCCCTGTGTGTTGTGAGTTCAGCTGTTTTGCTGATGAGAAGGGACAAGCATCGTCTAGAGCGACCACTAGAGAGCAGCTTTGACGTCAGCACTCGGGCAGTTTTTTAAAGGCCTCTGCTGATATCAGTATCAGATGCGAAGAAATACTACCACTCACACCCAGTGACACCCTGCTGTCTATCTGTAGAGAGGTTTAAAAGAGGAGCTGTCTTGCAGTGTGTGCTGCTATCCTTTTCATATGGGAGTGTAGTTGTAAATGCTGCTATATTATGTAACATGCATCTGTTTGAGATTGAAGCTTTTGTTTATTGGCAGTGTGGGTCAATCCAGCAGTATTTTTAACAGACCTTGATTTTTGAGATGCAAAGTTTTTTCACTTCTAATTAAATTAATGCTAATATGCAGATAATGTCTCTTCAAGGATTAGTTTTCCTCCTACATGAATGACGATTTCTTATAAGTGGGTCAAGAGAGAATAAAAATGACTGGTAGGCTGCAACTAATAATTATGTATATTTTATTGATCTGAGGACTACTTTCTGAATTAATCGATCAATTGTTAGAAAATATGTCCTTGTTTTGTCTGAAGTCCAAAGCCAAAGATATTGAAGTACTTTAACTTGCATACCATTTTATTTTCAGGTGTTTTTCTGCTTCTTTTGAGAGAACAAGTTGTACATCAGGGATTGGTTCCTCCCATGTGAATTATGATAAATGATAACATATAATTACATATGATAACATATAATTACATATGATAACATATAATTAAAGTGACAAAGGATTTCTTTAAACAAAAACTCAGACACATGGGTCTCATAAGATTGTTGAAAGACACTGTAAAAGATAAAATTTTCGGGGATGTTTTGTTGTCCTGAAAATATTCATCACGAGAATAATTTCAATGACTATAGTTGTTCATGGATCCAGCTGTGTTTCATTACAAAATAATACTCCTGATACCCCGCAAGAAAATGTTCGTTGTAGATTTATTCAAAAAATGGTAAACTAATCCTCTGTAATATCATGCAGCTCTGCTAGGTAGTAAACTACTACTTTATGTAAGTTAAACTTGTTTGTACATTTTGGAGTGTCAGTTCACCTGAGAAAACATGACTAATGACTTAGTTTTTCTCTGCCTTTAAGCAGCTACTCTACAATTGCTATCACAGGTTCATTGTGGAAGCCATTCGGCATCATATCTCGAACAGCCTGTCCCCGAAAGCTGTGGTCAAACTGGGAAAACTGAGACCGTTGGGGCTTGGTGATATAACATCCTGTGTGTTTGAGAGGTCTGTGGTCCTTGTGATCTGGTTTAGATGGAAAAGTTCTGTCTGGATCACAGTAGGCTGCAGGTTTCCTGTCCTTTCCCTTCACCACTTTGCTACCCGGCACACACTTCTGCTTACTCAGGCGAGCTGTGGTTCATAATGGCCCCCTTGGATGCATTTTTTCATGCATAATAACAACGCAGGCTTGATATTGAACTCCTGGCTGTATGACAAGTGGAAGCTATTATTATTCAGCTAACATTTGTTAATATTACAGTTTTTGGAGTAGTTTTGATCTAGGGATACAATAGTTTTGACCACAGAGATTATCTTTATGTTTAATCAGCAGGACTTGAATTCATGTGATCAGTCCACGTAGCAAATATGCCTCTTGTTGGCTTAAAGTTGTTTACTGAAAGATGATGGATGTGTGGAGTATGGGAAGAAAATGAGAAGGAGAGTGATGTTCCAGTTTTTTGTTGAAATGTGTTGCATGCGTGCGTGTACTTGTCATGTTATTTGGAGTATTAACATCCCTGTTCTCTTTGGCCTTGTATAACCCTACTGCTCACATCTTTCTTTGTCTCTCAAACTCTTAGGTGGTGAAGCTTTTGAGCAACAAGCGTTCACAGGCTGTGGGTATTCTGATGTCCAGCATTCATCTTGATATGAAGGACATCCAGAATGGTAAGTGTGATCACCTGGTCAATCTGCTGTTCTTATAGCTCTTTGAGAAGATTGAAGTAAAATAAACACAATTGTGGAAAGAATAGGATGTGTAGTCGTTAATGGCCAGCATGTTACTACAATATGCAGGTAGTATTGAAGGCACCACTGTGTAATGGTCAATGTGGGAAAATGGTAAATAGTAATAGATAGCGATTTATTTCTTATTTTCCAAAACATACACAGCATAATACTGTTCTGACATTGAGTTTACCTGCATTGTATACAAATGTACACCTCAGTTGTATTTACATAGCTTAACTCAAGAACAGGTTCAGACTGAATCCATGGAATGGATATCCATGGTGCCCATGAATCCTGCAGTCTTTGGTCATCCCCTGACTTTTACTCTAGCAACACCAGGAGGTTGACATTTGTGGTTTTGAGTGAGCTGTAGTGAATTGTCCTATATTTTGGTACAGACATTCATATCTGCCTCAGGATGGTTAGCAATAACTTGGTAATCCCTTAACGCTAAATCTAGCACTGCCATCAGTAAAACATTTTATTTATCCAATACTTTGGTTTATGACCAAATTCCTACAAAACTTCAGATCAGCCTCAGCTGTTTAGTACTAATTAGAAAATGTTAACATGCTAATACTCTAAACTAAGATGGTGATCATGGTAAACATTACACCTGCTTAATATGCAGCATGTTAAAATTGTGGTTATGTTACCATTTAGCTCTAAACACAACAGTGTCTAAACACAGCCAACACAGAGCTGCTAGCAAGGCTGTGGACTGCAAGACAGATACACTTCCTTGGTGCTCTGCTAAAGTGACACCAACTTATGAACTAGGACAAACACACACATTAAAGAAAAAGAAAAATTACACAAAATATCTAATTTTATTTATGCAAATGTGTTTTGGCAAACAAGTCATCTTTAGAGCACCACAAGGGTGGATTCCTCCTCCTTATTATAAAGAACATGTCATCCCCAGGTGTGTGTAGAATTGCCAAAGCTTAAACCTCCCTCTATTAGTTAGCTTTATCACAAGTCATAATGTTGCAAGGCATCTGAAATGTTTTTCCTTTGTTACTCTCCTGCTGTCTGTTTTTCTTTGCTCTCATTTTGCATAATCTCTCCACATCATGTTTCTCTGCGGCTCTCTGTGTTTCTCTGATGAGTTGTCACCATCTTGTCTAAACGGCTTTGTTAAAGTGAAGTCATTCAGTAGATATTGATGGGAACAGACCGTTTTCCTGTTTTAGTTACTCTCTGATTGCTCTCCAGTCTTCGCTCATCCATGTGTCTAAACACTCTTCCTCATCTCCCCATCCTATTCAGTCCTCCTACAGTGGAGCCTTTATTACAGCTTCAGATCTTTATCTCGCATGGTGGTTGGATAGGTTATATTAAAATAAATGTGTACCACCAAAACCATGGCTGGCGCATATTGTTCATTTGTAGCAACAAACAGTCAATCTGTGGGGCTGTTTTGTCTGCAGTATCTTCAAAGCAACTTGTGCACTGAATTTTCACTCTTCTGTTAGTCTTTGGTGCATCCATCTCTGGTCAGAGTGGGAGGGCAAGTGAGGGCCACTGTCATCAGCACTGTTATTCATCTCTTATGTTAGGACAGTTTTGCCATAGTGCATAATTAGCGCTGATTGGAAACTTCAGTATCTCACGGAGAGTAAGATCAGAGAGAAGATAGTGGTTTGTTAAAGTACTTCTCAATCATATGTGCTTGTTGTTCCCCAAAAACAGTGAGGTGCCTACTGCCTGGCACAAACAAAATAACCCAAGAATAATTTATTTACTTAGTCATGCATTTTAATTGAATGATTATTAGGTGTGAATAATTATAGCCTTGAAATGCTCACTATTTCACATAAAGAACCAAACCAAAAGACTATACTTTGGCAATGCTATTGTTTTTCCATTCCTGAAATGATCTCATTTTCCCTTGTGTCATTAGAGGTTTAAGATGATTAAAGAATTGAAGGAAAATTTGTTTATAAAAGAGGACGATTCATTTGTCAAAACTTTGTAATTGTCCCTTTCGGTTTAGTGAATCATTGTTTTATTTCCTCTTGATTCCATGATGAAGACAATGACTAGCAACTTGGATATCACTGACTTGAAGAAAAACAACATCTGAATCATTGATTTAGATCTTGTATGTTTTATGACGGCTCCATTGCTCAGTGAGAAGTCAACACATTTTTCTTTTCCTCACAGCTGTTGTTGTTTGTTGTCAGACTTGGCCGACACTCTGCATGTTTCATAGGACACTTCCATGCGGTGTCTGCTTCCTGTGAGGCTCTGGAGCGCCAGTCACAGTATTAGGTGGTGGTTGCCAGCGCCATGCTGGGGTTGAATGCGGTAGTCGGGGTAGACCCAGGCAGATGAGCATGGCTTTTGGTCATAAGAGGTCTGTGTCAGAGCAATGATACGTTTTTTTCTCTTGTCTTTTAAAACCTGTCTCCAATCAAACCAGCCTGCCAGACTCTGGTTCAGATAGTTATGAAAACCAAATGGTTACAAGAGGAAGAGTGTGAGAAACGGAAAAGGGGAGAGTCAGAGAGAAGGAAGTTATTTCTGTAGTGGCTTTGGAAGAGGAGAGAGTGTGAAGAGGTTAGAGAGAAGAAGGAAACTTGGAAATGAGGAGTGGATTTTCCCTATGGCACAAGAGTGAAGAGATTGAAAAGGCTACAAGATTACATAAAGCGAAATAAAGCAAAATCAATGCTGGAGACAGAACTGACTGGATCAGTACAACATTCCTTTGAGGCTTTTTTCCCAAATGCGTGTACTAATTTAGTTTTTCTCATGATGATCTTTATTTTTGTTAAGCTTTTCACCAACACAAACTTATGAGAAATCCATATTCAATGTCCAAGCATAAAATGAAGTGAACATTCTACATTGAGTCCTTTACCCCAAGTCCCTTTTATCCCTTCTGGCACTAGCTTTTCCCCTGTACCTCAACAGCAAATCAGCAGATCAAAACAATGTGAGTCATTTGGACACCCACAGCACAGTGAAATACATATATAGGTGTCGAGTGCTTCACTGGGTGATTGTGCATACAGCAACACCTCAGCCTCAATGCTGCAGACCCCGGGGCTCTGTTTGTCTTTAAACATTTACTTTCAAAGGATTAATGCTCACGGGCGCCAGGTCCTTGCGCCGAGACAAAAAGGCGACACCAGGAATTCAAACACTGGAGTTCAAACACAGATCTTTTTACCTTTTGACAGATTTCTAAGACCTCCATATTTATGTTTTAGTTTGTGGCCCCTTCTATGCTAGTGTGATGAGGTGATCTATGTAACTTACAACGTAAGGCACGTGACACTTTATGTGGGCTGTGCAAGGAGAATTTTGCCCTTTTTTCATGCCACCTTTAGCTCCAGCAAAACAAAACAAACTGTCTGTCTGTGGTTGTATCAGCCAAAGAAAGATGTTTTTCTAGAGATTATAAAAGTGGAGGCCTGTTTGTGCTGGTTTGATTTCTGACTTGTTAATGGTGTTCCTCAAAGGTAGCAGAGAAATGTCATGACATGCTTTAGTGTTAACGTTCACATTAACCATGTCATCCTCTCCTTCTATTTTACAGCCGTCCTAAATATGGAGAACACTGTCGTTGATCTGGAGACTCTGCAAGCCCTTTATGAAAATGTGAGTATAACAACATTCTGTAGTGCTACTTGGAATTGGAGCCATGTATTTATTACAAGTGCAATAAACATTTCTTAACTTTGAAAATGTTTAACTTTGAAGGGAGGATTATCAATACTCATGTGGACAGCGGTTTCAGAAAGGTCAATAGCCCAGTGAAAAGACAATATCCCAAACTGAAATACACTTCTGCACTTTCCTGCCAATGCAGAATCTTATAAATACACAATGTTGAGCAACAAACCCAGTATAATTATACAAAGTAACGCCACTGACAGCTCAGGCAGATCTTGCAGCGTTCGGTCTGGGAAAACCTTAGTCTTTTTATTTCTTATCCTCTGTGGTTTGCAGTAAACGTATTATTTTGGAACAGTTTGCTTGTGACAAATGGAATGATTTATGGTTACACATTTCATGCCATATATGAATAACAGGCAATCATTTTATTATAGAATGAAACCTAAGAAGACTCAACAAGCCATGATATCAACAATATGGCAAAAAGAAAATCATTCATCAGTGTATTTGGCAGTCAAACTTGGGGTAAACCACGAAACACCAATTTCTATCTATCAAAAGAAACCTTTCAAAGATTAGCAAAAGCTGAATTATGAAAAGCTGATAGCTGCTCAAAAGCTTGTATACAGGGCAGGTGGGAGGAAAACCCCACAACTTTTTTAAATAAATATAATGCAGTGTCAGTCATGTCACGTCACTGTAAACATATGTTCTCTATGTGGAGGTCTTATTCCATGTTCCACTTGAAAGGGTGAACTAAAGGAAGTGTGCATTAGATACTAAAACAAACAGACGAGCCACAAACCGTACTGGTATGTGTGCTGTTTGGCGACCGAGTCAGTCTTGTGTAGGTCTGTCTGCTGGCGTGGAAGGGGGACCAATGCTTTTACGTAGTAAACATGTTTTCTTCACGCTGGATCTGATTGACTCTACTTTTATAATGCCCCTGTGCAAAGGAAACGACTGTTTAGAAACTGCTGCGTTTGTGTCACACGGCTCCCCTTGTGCTAGTGTGGTTTTTAAGAAAAAAGAGAGCGACAACACTGAGCTTTGCTGAGTAAAATGACCACATTGTATTGTATAATATTAGCATAAAAGGAATTTCGGAGCTGTCATCGCTATTTTCCAATATGTCTCCATTTTGGCTATGAAGGACTTCTTGTGTACAATAAATATATATTCATCAATATTCACTGATAGGAAAATGGTTCAGAACCTGTTCGAAGTTAGATCAGTAAAAAATAGAACATGAAAACGGGCATGTTTTCCACATTTCAACTATAACACAGTTTTAAGATTCTGTGAAATTCCTGTGAATTGCTTTTTGGCACAACTACACAGGAGAGGCCTGGACCTTTGGCCGCCAGAGGCATATTAATAATGTTGATCATGGGAATGAGACTGAGCCTTGAGACAAGCTGTAGTTATGAACTAATGTGTCATAACTGAGGATCAAAAGTCTTCTAACCTCGCCACTCACCCCAAGACTTCAAGCCCTCTCGCTCTCTCCCTCTCACTCTCCTTCTCCCCCTTATGGCCTAAGGCTATGTTATTGAGTCGAGGAGCCAAATTGTTTCTCTTTTGTATTGCGAGACTCCATCCTGTCTGTGGGTCTCCAGCCCCCTAAACCACAGTTGGCAGTGCAGTCAGCCTGTCTTGAGGAATGTGAGGGGCTTCTAATGGTTACACCCTCACTCACTGTGCTAGGAAGGAGATCACACACTGCTCTCGCTCACTCTCTTTCTCTCTCACACACAAACATGCCCACAAACAAACATGTTGACCAACGCAAATGTGCACATTCTGTACTGCATGCACACAGAGACCAAAACACACACATAAAAACACACAGAGGCAGGGACAGAGTCACTTTGTCTATGAGCTGCAGATTATAGCAACTCCTGTCCTTTTGAACAATAAGCCATTGCCATTAAAGGGGTCACAGTGATAGTGAGACACTGCTCCCTCCCCTCTAATATCACAAGGCATGATCTGGGCCCAGCCCGATTGTCTGAAGTTCAGACTCCTTTTAGCTGACAGTAGCTAAATGTCATGGAGGTCAGTCAGAGCCATAGTCCCTTCTATGAGCCTTTACACTACAAATAATCACCTTACACTATTTTTTTTTTCCCAACAAGGCCTTGTGATGTCTAAACATATTTGACATGTTTATTACATGATGCAATTTGTCATTTGGACACTATTCTTTGGCAGCTTGGTGTACAAATAATCTCATAAATGTTGTTCCATTATAAAACTGAGTGACATAAATAGTGATTAAGCCCTGGCTGGCTCTGTTTAGCCCTGTACTAGAAACCTGGCTAATGAATACCACTTGGCTACCGCTAGACTTCTGGCATCACAAATATCATCCTACTTTCCTTTGCATTTGATATTCCACATGGGACTGTATTTCTCATGCTAACAACCACTGCAACATGCCCTAGCAATTCAAAGATCACACGCTAATGCCTACTTGTCCCCAATTACACCAAACACTGCTGGGCTCCACTGCTGCCCTTTGAAAAGGATCTGCTTTGTATTAAATATATTTACACTTGAAAACATCTCGAGAGAAGGCGAAGGAGAGCTTGCCCTCGTCGACAGAAGGCAGCAGTGTCTAGAATACTAATCGGGCCCTCAGTGTGTTTGATGCTGGTGTTTGATGTTTTCCAAGGATCCATGCCAAGGCCAAAAACCAGAGAGAAAGATGGAGAGAAACAGAGGGAGAGACCAGACTGTTGAGACTCTTTGGGGGTCTATGGGCTCTAGAGGGACTGAGAGAGAGTTTACATTCTCTTCCTGGGGATGGTTTTATTGTTTTGCCCCTCTGCGTCAGACAGATTAACATCTATTGTCTTTGCCTCTTGTGAAATGAAGGAGCATTTCTGGCCTGCTTTTTTTTAATACCACCTTGTATAAAACTGTGGTCCAGGGCCTGACAGCAAGATAATAGTCAGGAATGTAGTCAGGCTAAAGGCACCTCTTATACTGTATAGACTGGCATATAGTTCACACAGTTCAAACACACCTCAAGTTCCATTTAGTAGCTGCTCTGGGGCTTTTGATCACATTGCATGATTTTCATCAGCAGGTTGAGTTTGCCACTTGTCATCGAATTGTAGATGTTCAAATTTCCATTTTTTTTTTAGCACTTAAGGACTTCTTGTCCATGTTGGCATGAAAATTCAGGTTCAAGGTTTATTCTTTACCTTGAAAATTGCAACTGACAAAACACCATCACCTCAAGGTCCATTGAGTAAGTATTCTGGCGCTATTGATCATATCGCAGTTCTGTAAAGCTGGAATGATGGATAGGTGTTTTGGGTAACTGTTGCAGAGGCTCGCAGAGGAGCTGATGTGCACACCTACCAAATCTCAATGCACACATGTGCGTCAAGCAAGCTGACCGATCCAGCATCCAATTGGAAGCTGTCTCTACTTTTTGTTTGTGTTTGGGCATACATTTCAGCATGGTACTCCCACATGTGATCTTCAGGCAGAAGCTAAGGAAATTAATGAATTAAACTTCATGTTGTTGCCCATCTTATCATTGTCCCATCCATTTACAATGATAAATCCAAATTCTTTCGTGTTTTTTGTTTCATGGACATAGTGGTTTGTCACCGGGGGGGGGGTTCCTTCTTTTACATTTAATTCACACTGTGGTTTGCTAAACTTGACAATGCTATGTAGTGGACACATACATTGTACCCCCCAATCCATACAAGTATAAAAGAATGTAAAATGTAAAAATGATTGTGCCCTAACGACACCTCTGTAAATTCACTTACGAGCAGCACAGAGAAGCTCGATCAAGGGCTCTATTTTCCCTGATCAAACTATGCGCATACTGTTTTGATCAGCTAGTATTACACTTAGTTTTTTTTTTTTTTTACTCAAATGAAATCCTAAACTGAGGCTTTAATCATGACATTATTCATACATAAATTTCAAAATTTTCATGATATGCTGTACTCTAAGTACCTTTCGATTGCACTCACCTATATGCAAGTGCAATCAAAAATGCATTTTAACTTAATCTGCATTTTCATTTGACAGAGAGCTCAAGCTGATGAGCTTGATGGCATTAAAAAGCATATAAAATCAGCCAAAGACAAGGAGGATGCCAAGCCACTGGACAAGCCTGAACAGTAAGAGCCAAACCTACCTTCTTGAACCAAACCTATTAAATGAGAGCTGTGTATTATGGTGACTGATTTTGTGCCTTCATCAGGTTTCTATTCCAGTTATCTCAAATCCCCAACTTCTCTGAACGAGTGTTCTGCATCCTGTTTCAGTCAACTTTCCATGAATGTATCACCTCAATCCTCCGCAAAATCGAAATCCTTCAGAGAGTATGCAAGGTGAGAGACTGGCCTTCTTTTCATTTCATTTTTTTTTCTGTCATTCAATTTCACCTTCATTTCTTCATCTCGTGTGTGTGTGTGTGTGTGTGTGTGTGTGTGTGTGTGTGCGCGCGCGCGCACCAGACTCTCCAGAATGGTGAGTTTGTATTGCAGGTGCTTGGCCTGGTGCTGGCTTTTGGCAACTTCATGAACGGAGGTAATCGGTCTCGAGGGCAGGCTGATGGCTTCACCTTGGACATTCTGCCCAAACTGAAGGACGTTAAGAGCAGTGTGAGTTCGTTTTACAAGAGTAAAACCAATCACTCACTCTACAAGAGAGTGCAGCAGCTTAATTAGGTGTTATTCACAAGCAAACAGAGGACTGGGCGTGTATGTATAAATTTGTATAAAATAAGTAAATAAAGGAGCCAAACCTATGTAACTTATGTGCACCCAAAGAAACACCTTTTTCTGTAATTCATGTTGTACTAGAAAATACACTGAACAAAATTATAAGCACAACATTTTTGTTTTTGGCCCCATTCATCAAGAGCAGAACTCAAAGATCTAAGACTTTCTCTATGTACACAAAAGGACTATTTCTCTCAAATATTTGTGATAGTGAGCACTTCGCCTTTGCCAAGATAATCCATCCACATCAGTGGTTGTGCGAAGTTGCAGTCAGGTCAAGACCCCGAGGAGGACAACGAGCATGCAGATAAGCTTCCCTGAGACGGTGCCTGACAGTTTGTGCAGAAATTCTTTGGTTATGCAAACCGATTGTTGCAACAGCTGTCCGGGTGGCTGGTCTCAGACAATCTTGGAGGTGAAGATGCTGGATGTGGAGGTCCTGGGCTGGTGTGGTTACACGTGGTCTGCGTTGTGAGGCCGGTTGTATGTACTGCCAAATTCTCTGAAACACCTTTGGAGACTGTAGAGATGGTAGAGAAATGAACATTCAATTTCACAGGCAACAGCTCTGGTGGACATTCCTGCAGTCAGCATGCCAATTGCACGCTCCCTCAAAACTTGCAACATCTGTGGCATTGTGATGGAACTGCACATTTTCGAGTGGCCTTTTATTGTGGCCAGACTAAGGCACACCTGTGCAATACCCATGCTGTCTGATCATCATCTTGATATGCCACAACTGTGAGGTGGAGGGATTATCTCGGCAAAGGAGAAGTGCTCACTGACACAAATTTTGACAGTTTTGTGAACAATATTTGAAAGAAATAGGCCTTTTGTGTACATACAAAAGGTCTTAGATCTTTGAGTTCAGCTCATGATGAATGGGGGCAAAAACAAAGTGGTGCGTGTATAATTTTGTCCAGTGTAAGTGGTGTGGGGAAAATGGTCACTCTAAATGTTGATCTGGACTCCATCTATGGTTGAGTCCAGAACTGAGAGTCCACAAGTTGAAAGGGACCTTCATTGCAGAAAAACATGAGGACCATAGCTGTGCAGATTTAGAGGAGAGGCCATTCTGTTTACTGTTCTTATTCAATATCACAACGGGCTCAGTGTGCCCTTGGCACTGCCATATAAGGACAGAGTGGTTTGTGTTTTTGTGGTTGTGGACCGACAAAGGTATCCACAAAGAACATCAAACTTTCCACCAACTCTGAGTTATGACAGCCAGCCCAGCACAGTTGTGTTTTGTTGTATTGCTCTTACAACGTCATGATTTATCCCCAGCTTTTATGACTGCTGTCTCTATACTTGTTTGCCTTGCCCAAATTAAAACGTCCTGCTTCAAAATGATTAAATTAATAAATAAAGGGAATTTGGTTTATTTATTTAGATTTTTTTCTTTCTTTCAGGATAACTCCCAGAGTCTTTTGTCCTACATTGTTGCTTACTATCTAAAGCACTTTGATGAGGTATGTTTTGGTTCCTGTTTATTTGAATCACTTTTCTGTTTTAGTCTGATTTGCTTAGAAATCCTTCCAGAGCTCTCTTTTCATCTCCTTTCTTGCCAGAGGATACCATGGCTTATCCTTTATCAAATTATTTATTTTCTCTTTCCTCATTTAGGACAGAAACAAATCTCTCTCCTCCTCTGGCTCTCTTTTAATTCTCTTTCTGTCTTTCACTCTTCATCTCCCGCTCTTGCTCTGCTTTGGTCTGGGTTCATTCAAACCTGCAGTCTGTTCATTGGCACAGCATCCAAAGGAGCGCTAGTGTAAATAATTAGGTTCTCCAGATGAGATGAACTCAGTAGAGTGCTGCATGCCAAAATCAACCTGCATGACATGGCTCTAGCACTCATAATGGCCCTGTAGTAACTCTGATGGAGAGAATTGTTGTGCTCTTTCTGCACCAAGCTTAATGGTCATTATCTGCTGTAGTTTCAGCTATAGCTTCTCTGGGATGTTTGGACTGTACATGCAGGTCTCTGAAGACATTTATTTCAATCTTGTGTACAGTAGAGGCCCCTCCCATTTGAGGAAAATTGACTTTGACATTGGTGTGTGTTTTTTTGGGGAGTTTTTTGTCCATGAATGTGTGTTGTGATTTACAAGGATGCTGGCAAAGAGACTTGTGTCTACCCTCTGCCCGAGCCCCAGGACCTGTTCCAGGCCTCCCAGATGAAGTTTGAGGACTTTCAAAGAGATCTGCGCAAGCTGAGGAAAGACCTCAATGGTATGGATGGTCATCAACCCATGTTCCATAATATTGCATGGTGATGGCGCATAGATAAGATGCTTGCCTTTGGTGTGGGAGATCCAGGTTCGATTCCCACTGTGTCCCTGAGCAAGACACTTAACCCATTGTTGCTCCAGAGGCGTGCGACCTCTGACATGAGTAGCAATTGTAAGTCGCTTTGGATAAAAGCGTCAGCTAAATGTAAGAGATATTACCCTTGTGAGCATATCCAAAATCTCTAAACTGCATTTTTACAACAAGCTTACCAGCTAGTAAACAATGCAATATCCAGCAAATTATTTTAATTGGTGTCATATCATGTTTAAAATACCATCATATGGAAATTTATGTTGCAATAATTTATGTATTTATCCATGCACAATCTACTAGCACAATTGGAAATTATTTTCAAAACCTGACCAACTATGTTTGAGTGTGCCTCGTAGATGCGGGTCAACAGAGAGATAACATCTGTTTGTCATACAGACGAGCTAACCAGAAGCAGATGTGACTTGTCAGCTGTAGACCCCTGTTGGACCTGGTGTGCCTTTGCTGTCCTCATGAAATAGAGATCAAAATATACAGAGGGCAAGGTCAGGGAACTTTCACTACTAGCATACACTACCAAAGGTTCATCAGTTATTCACTGAACTGAAAGAAGCTCTCCTTTGATCTAAGATGGCTCACCCTGCAGGCCGCAAACCTTCAACACATTGAGCCTGTTTTGTAGAGAATTTCAGAATACTCCTGCACATGTCTTTCCCCTTGGGGTCCTAAATATGATTAATGGATGGACTAATTTGATAGAAATTGGCTAAAATCGCTGACTGACTCTTTAATTCTTTAATTTTATTAATTTGTCAGTTGTTCAATCAGTTCCGGAACCAATACACATGATTAATCTATTATATAACTTTAGAGGGGAAAACAGTGCGTTTCACAAGCCAACAAATTGGGCTTCAGAATTCCCATTGAACTGACATGATGAGAGTATTAGGAAGTTTAGTATGTTGCATTGTTGTATTAAACATATAGAAAACACATACATTGTATAAAATCAGTAACCATATAAAAGAGGCTTATAAAAAATGCTGTGCCAGGATTGTGTTTATGCTATTGCACATCGAGACCTCAGAACAAAGGGTGGAAATGGGATTATTCTTGAGAACTGATTGGTTGAGTGAAAAGAGCCAGTTGGGAAATATTCTCTTTCATTACTCTGTCTCAAGTCCCTTAACACTCACTTTCCAAAGGACTGAAGGCCCTACAGGTGGTAAAAAACGACAGTGTATTTTTGTACAATACGCAGTTTGTGTGCTTGCAGCTCAATCAACAATTCCCCAAACCTGGTCTGTTCTCTATCATTTTTTATGTATCTTTGCTGCTAAACCAATCAGGTGCCTGATCCGTGTTGCCAAATATTGTTTTTCCTCTACCATAATGATTCTTTAGGCTGTTCATTATTTGCAATTCATAAAGATGGAGTTGCTCACTGGGGAAATGGACTAGCGTCTGCTTCGACCCCAGTGGCAGTGGCACATGCTAGCCGTACATAAATACATCATCACATGCTTTACCTGCAGACCTCTTCATTACCTAGCAGAGGCAGATGAGTGCTCTAACAGACCTGGGCTTCGATGACAGTTCCCAGAGGGGGGTTCCGAAAGGTAGGCGGCGCAGAAATGGCTTTGGCTGGCCCGATGGACATCAGCAAGCAACACAGGGGAGAGAGCTCACTATGTACCTTTTTTGGTCAAGGCACCATATGGTCTATGAATTACCACTTTCCCAGTCCCGACCTCCCTGTTCCCCTAAGTGTCTCGTGGCCTCTCCACCACTAAGGCCTTGAGTTGAGTTTGTGTATCCATTATGGTTGCAGATAGAGTGTGACGATAAGTTTCTCCCAGGATCAGAGCACAGGCCTTCCTGGTTTCTGTGGGGGTGCCTTATTAGTCATTACGAGGGGTCATTATGTCTTTGCCAACACTTATTCAGCAGAAATTCAGCAGAGATTTATCAAAGCAATCTCAACCAGGGTAAAGTGCACTGCAACGTTTGTAATGACAACAGAAGTGCTGCATAAGATATTATTGCTCTGAAAGACCTCTCCCCGTCTCATCATGGTCATCTCTTGTTGTTTCAGCATGCTCAGCTGAGACGGAGAAAGTTTGCAAGCTGTCCTCTGAAGTGAACCTGCAACCCTTTAAGGACAAGATGGAAGGATTTCTTAGCCAAGGTGAGCCTGTTTTCCAAATCAATTGAAACTGATGATTGATTAGACTGTTACCAGTCTCATTAAAGCATGAGTCCAGTGATATGCTGTATTTTTCTTCTTGTCAACAAATCCCATGAAAACCAACAATGAACTGATCCTACTAACAAGTGTCTGTGTAGCCAGAGTCTGATATGTTATTGTTCTGTGCTATATCCATTGTTGTCCAAAAACTATTGAGAATGCATTAGTGGGCACACCTTTTGCTTTGGGTGAAATGTTCCTTCATTAACCTGAACATGGAAACTGTAGCCTATTTTGAGTCCAGTATACACGGTTCTGCTGCCATAAAAAACTCAAATACACCATTAACTCTTGTTCCTTTAACACTTTTTAAAATATTCATATGTTTAGCAGGAATAAATTGGCTTGGGGCTGAGCACCACAGACAGGACAGTGGAGTATTTGTAGTTGGTACAATGCATTGTTAGTTCTGGTCTTTTCATGTCATTTGTTAACAATCCGAAAAAGCCTCAAATATGATAAAGCAGGTGATGGTCAGTCAACATATGGTTTGTTCATCTGTGTTTACCATTAGACAAAGAGTTAAAACTTAAAGGGCCAAATAATTTATCCCTCCTGATTCAAAAAGTATTCTGTACTGGTATACCCTTGGTATATCAAAGCTGAAAATGCATCTGTGGTGTAAGAGTATGTGTAGCAGCTCATCAATCAGAATGATTTAAGTCTTCTTTGTCTGCAGACACATTTCCAAATCTGTTTCATGCTGTTTTCTGGGTGATATACACACACGAGGGTTCACTCAATGTCGTTTCCATAGGGATGTCTGTTTATTCCTGCGTGTATTGAATAACTCACAGCTATTGTTTCAAGGATGCCTATCTGCTTTGACGGATTATTGTTGGACTTGGTAGCTGGGTCTTTTATCTTGATCTCTGCCTTATAAAGTACATCTTGCTCTGCCTTAAAGGTAGATTCAGGTTGGCCAAAGGTGAACCTGTCAAGCTACCTGTTAAATTGACTGAACAGAACTGGATGCCTGATAGACTGGAATAAAACTGACTTGTTCTGCACCGTATCCCTTTTGCTTAGTACTTTTGACGTCATGGTATTATGTTTTTGTCATATTTATCCTTTTTCCTGTTGTTAAAAATTTTTCTTTAGTTCCTGACGTCCTTTATTTTTCCACTGAGTCTGCTGTTCCATTCTAATAACAAAGTTATGTATTTTTTCTGTCAGATGAATGACCGAGAGATTACAAGTACCCCTTTCAGTACACGCTTTCTTGTGTCTTTCTATCACTGATTCTCTCCTAATTATTATATTAGGAATTCAAAACCTTCACAGAGACGTGTTTACCAAGAAGGCTGTTAAGATGATGACGATAACTTGAATGCAAATGAGCATTTCCTCCTCAATTGCCCTTTCATTCCAACAAGACTAAGAGTTTACAGCCATGCTCCTTGAGGCTGTACACACAGCTGTGCTGTGAGCTGAATGCTAATGAATGACAATGCCAACATGCTGATGTTTAGCAGGTATACTATTTACCATGTTCACCAGCTTAGTTTAGTGTGTTAGCATGGTAATGGTGGCGCTAGATGAAAAGTCAGATGAAACTACAAACTGCAATCTCATGGCGCAAGAGGAAAGGTTTTGTACCAATCCATCAAGCACATGATATTTCACTGGATAAATGAAAACCTTGACCTGCTGGTAGTTGCCAAGAGATTTCACTCTGGACCAAAGGGGTGGACTGGCAAACCTACGTTGCCATCCCTAGTGCGATGCCGCTATCATGGCTAAAAATCTCCTGTAAACGTCATGAGAGCAAGCTAAAAACAGAAAAATATCATCTAACAGAGGTTAACACTTACTACTATATTTTTGTTCGACTGTAGATATTGTTACGCCAAAATCCACGAGAAAATGTCAAGCTTTTCTCTTAATCTGAACACCTGTTCAATTTCTCATTAATGCAATTATCTAATCAACCAATCACATGGCAGTTGCTTCAATGCATTTAGGGGTGTCGTCCTGGTCAAGACAATCTCCTGAACTCCAAACTGAATGTCAGAATGGGAAAGAAAGGTGATTTAAGCAATTTTGAGCGTGGCATGGTTGTTGGTGCCAGACGGGCCGGTCTGAGTATTTCACAATCTGCTCAGTTACTGGGATTTTCACGCACAACCATTTCTAGGGTTTACAAAGAATGGTGTGAAAAGGGAAAAACATCCAGTATGCTGCAGTCCTGTGGGCGAAAATGCCTCGTTGATGCTAGAGGTCAGAGGAGAATGGGCCGACTGATTCAAGCTGATAGAAGAGCAACTTTGACTGAAATAACCACTCGTTACAACCGAGGTATGCAGCAAAGCATTTGTGAAGCCACAACACGCACAACCTTGAGGTGGATGGGCTACAACAGCAGAAGACCCCACCGGGTACCACTCATCTCCACTACAAATAGGAAAAAGAGGCTACAATCTGCAAGAGTTCACCAAAATTGGACAGTTGAAGACTGGAAAAATGTTGCCTGGTCTGATGAGTCTCGATTTCTGTTGAGACATTCAGATGGTAGAGTCAGAATTTGGTGTAAACAGAATGAGAACATGGATCCATCATGCCTTGTTACCACTGTGCAGGCTGGTGGTGGTGGTGTAATGGTGTGGGGGATGTTTTCTTGGCACACTTTAGGCCCCTTAGTACCAATTGGGCATCGTTTAAATGCCACGGCCTACCTGAGCATTGTTTGTGACCATGTCCATCCCTTTATGGCCACCATGTACCCATCCTCTGATGGCTACTTCCAGCAGGATAATGCACCATGTCACAAAGCTCGAATCATTTCAAATTGGTTTCTTGAACATGACAATGAGTTCACTGTACTAAAATGGCCCCCACAGTCACCAGATCTCAACCCAATAGAGCATCTTTGGGGTGTGGTGGAACGGGAGCTTCGTGCCCTGGATGTGCATCCCACAAATCTCCATCAACTGCAAGATGCTATCCTATCAATATGGGCCAACATTTCTAGAGAATGCTTTCAGCACCTTGTTGAATCAATGCCACGTAGAATTAAGGCAGTTCTGAAGGCGAAAGGGGGTCAAACACAGTATTAGTATGGTGTTCCTAATAATCCTTTAGGTGAGTGTACAGTACAACAATATTGGGATATTGTGGTCCACTTCAAAGATATAAGACTTAGTTTGTTATGCTTGTTTTAACGTAACAAGATAAATGTCATTCTTCACGTAGCATTGGCTTTGACCCTGGCTACATTCAGTTGACTGTGACCAATCTTTCTGAAGGACCCGGTTCACAGACTTCTCTTCCAACTGCTTTTGTATTCAGATATGAGTATAATATATAGCATATGTTTTTCCGCTGTAATGCTCACTGTCCATTTTGAAGGAAGTCTACAGATGAAAGCATCTCTACCATTTCCACCTCTCCCCTCTCTTTACCCCTCTCTCTCTGTATTTGAGAGAAATATGGGAGCTCTCTCTTTGATGCAAATGACGAGGTTTTTCCTTTGAGAGCAGAATGTAAGCACCGTAACATGGACATGTGACTCTGAAGGCTCCAGACGGGATTCTTGGGGTTCCTCCACTGCGGCAGTGAAAAAAGAACAACAGCCAAATGTCTTATTTTTGTTATTTCTGTAATTTCTAAAACGCCTGGGGTTAAACTGTTTCTGGCTCCACAGTTTAAACCGCTTTTGTTTATTTTCTGACCATGAAACTAACCACAGAATAACAGTGGGAGCGGACTTGTTGGAGCTCGGCTGTTTGGTCTAGCCCGATTTTCCCCGCTTGCTTCACAAATTCTCATGCATGCAGGCCTTTGATGGAGTTGCTGTGGCTAGTGAGAGAGCACTGGCCATGTGATAATCTGTTTCTGATGGACATGAAGATTAGTAAGACTGATGTCAAACTCTCCGTCCCTTTTCTACCAACTACAATTCTGCTACTTGGGATGTCACATCATGTAGGCCAATATGGTTAAAGTTAATGTGAAACATACACCATGTGGTTAAATTTAATATACATGTTAATCTTTATTATGTTGAACTCCATAATGTGATCAAAGAACTGACACCTTTTTTAAAATATAATTTTTTCATTGACATTTTTTCGTCTATTTTGTTGTAGATGCAATGTTTATCAGCCATCCTTCCCCACGATACCACAATATCATCATATCACTACACTATAAGTAGATAAGAACACAATTAATCATATTGAAGTGATACTGAATGGCTCAGTGTCAGGGAAAATGTATCTAAGAGTGTCAGAGTTTATCTCTTTGAATTGATATTCATTGTTTCTAGAAGTAGCAACAATGGAGGCCTGAGAAATGATAAAGCATAGTGCTGGTATCAACAGGTTGTTCTAGCTTCGATTACATGTAGCAACCAGATATTCCCGGGATGAGAGCAGAATACAGATTGGTGCCAGGAAAGATTCTCTGTCCCATCTAATGTTGTGTCTGTCTTGGATGGCTAGGTCATTTCTGATCATTTGACAGTTTACGTCAGCTGCAGTTTAGATAATTGACCTTGAGGGGACAAAGAAGCTATCTAAGAGACTTTAATGTCTAACCTTTTGACATACATACAGCAGCAAAGTGAAGATATAGACCAGCAAAACAATACAGCTTGAGTGACTCCATTACTGTTCTCTCATATTTGAAAAACCCATGGATCAGAAATTTGATAAGTAGTAACCCAAAACATTTTCCTGACTGAGGCTGTCACATTTCACTGCTGTTCTCATATATCATAATTTATAATGCAGTCAAAATGATCCTGATGGCCCACCAAGATAAATGTTGTGGCCTGCTGGAAATTTCTCCTAATGTGTTCCATGGTGTCCAACTCCGTTTTCTTACCCTCTCGCTGTCTCTCTTTTACTCTCACACCTCACACACACAACACACACACACACACACACACACACACACACACACACACACAGAGTCATCTGTCTCTTTTCGATGTAACCCTGCACAAAGAAGCACTTGTCCTGCAATCTGCAGTACTCATTTGTCAGTTGTGCAACAGCGGACAATCCAACACATACCTGGTGGCGCAGCACTGACCTTGAAGATGACTGTTGATTTAAGCAATGGTGACATGTGGAATCCTCCTTTTATACAAGTTGCATTGTAGGTGAAAGATGTATTTTGTACGTAACAGAAAATCCTGTTTTTGTCCTAATCCTAATCTAATCCTGTATTTACTTATGCTTTGCTTCATAGCAAAAACTGAACTGGAAACACAAGAGAAGCAGCTGGGAGACACTCAGAAGATGTAAGAGCTTTCTTTATCTTTATGCATGTTCCTACAGCTTCTTCACCTGGAAGATAAATGCATGTATTTGTGTTCCCTTTCATGGGTTTACATTTGGTCTTTTCTGAAGTGTCAAAACCATGATCACTGTTCTGAATTTGAGAATAATGCAATGCAATCCAATACAGATTTAAGTGATATATTCTCACTGTACTGGCGAAATATTATCTTGCTGCTTTGTCAGTAGTTAGGGCTCCTGATTCCTTCAGTTACATGAAAGGTGCAGGGCCATCATGCCAGGCCTTCAGAAGACAGGAGGCCCCCTGTGCAGTGTCTATGTTGTTTATCTAAGCGGAGCGAGAGTAGACAGCCTTGGCTCCAGGCTTCTGTTACTGCTGGCTAGGAATGTGTTCCTATAGCACACTCCAAACAAAGAGACCCCAACCTGTCCACTGTATTGATCCACTGCAAATGGCCACCACATTTAACACTTTAACATGTGTCATCCCCTACCATTTTCACGCTTTGCTTTTGCTACATCTGTGGTTGTCTCCTAACACAGAGGCTTATATACACCAGGGAGAGGAGTGCCAACTTTAAACAATGTATATGAGTGTTTTATTTAGTGGAAGTTAATCCGTCAGAAAAAAAATTAATGACTAATGCTCCTTTAGCAGTAATAAGTCCATTTCATGTACTCAGTTCTTCTCTGAAATGCACAGTCATCATTGGTTTGGAGTTTTTATGTTACTCTACTCCCCTAAAAAACACATTATTCCAAGATTAACTTTAATATTTTGCATATTTGCTTAGCATGGCCAGGTTTCACAATATTCGTTGTAGGTTTCTGTAATCTCATGTTGTAACAGTTTGGTCTTGAAGTAATGTTTTTGTTCTCTGTCCTCAGCTTCTTGGAGTTGAGCGTGTCCTTCTCAGTTAAACCCAAAGGAGGAGAGAAAGAGGTTTCTCTCAATACTTTCTTCTCCATTTGGCACGAGTTTTCCACTGATTTCAAAGACCAGTGGAAGAAGCAGAATAACCTGATGTTAAAGGAACGGTGAGAATATGATGGAAGACAAGTTCTCCTGTTGCAGAATGCAACTTTATACTTGATACAGACACCTTCTTCGGAACCTATTGTCCTAAAATCAAATCCTATGGAGATATGGAGTCTTTTCATTCATTTTCCCCCGTCTTTGGGAAGGGTCCTCCACTCTCTGACCATTTAAAATGTCATCAGAGATGCACCAATGTTCCTACATTTAGAATTTCCTCCAAGCGTAAGTTCCCGAACCATTAATAACTTGCAGTACATCTCGTGTTCACTGAAGATCCTATCAGATTCATTCAAATTCATGAAGGGAAAAGAGGTTAAATCACCCAGATCTTTGCCTTCACCCCAGTAATGAAAAGAACACATGCAGCATCCAGTTAGCTTCCAGTGGTTTGATGAATATAAAGATATTGCAAAAGCAAATTGGTCCATTATGCCAATAAAGATGGAATTGTTACATGTATTTGTAAGAGAAGCAAAATATTACAAGGGTTGCTTGTTCAGTAGGAAAGAATAAAAACAAAACTGAAAGCATCAACTCTTTGCCCTTTGCCATAGGCAATCATCCCAGTTCTCTCTCTGCTGGTTTTCCATTTAGACTGCAGTGAAACTATAGGTATTAATCCTCACCTGCAAACATGGCACATAACGTAATGAGTTAGAGGCAAGCTGTATAAGCTGTTGGCATAAATTGTTGTACTCCCTCAATGATCATTTGTCTTTTTTAATCCACAAATGAGTAGCGACACTGCTGGCACTCTCCATGCAGTAGTAAACTAGAGTGAGTCATTTCAAATGGGAAGACTGGCGTTTTGACAAACAGAGATTGTTGTGTCCAAATAATACATGACCATAGTTTTGACAGTCCAAGCTGGAATTTTTGTATTGTCTTTCTATTTTATGGTGAAATAGTGGAAATTTACAGTGCCTTGCAAAAGTATTCGGCCCCCTTGAACTTTTCGACCTTTTGCCACATTTCAGGCTTCAAACATAAAGATATAAAACTGTAATTTTTTGTGAAGAATCAACAACAAGTGGGACACAATTATGAAGTGGAACGAAATTTATTGGATATTTCAAACTTTTTTAACAAATAAAAAACTGAAAAATTGGGCGTGCAAAATTATTCAGCCCCCTTAAGTTAATACTTTGTAGCGCCACCTTTTGCTGTGATTACAGCTGTAAGTCGCTTGGAGTACGCCTCTATCGGCCTCTATCGGTTTTGCACATCGAGAGACTGAAATTTTTGCCCATTCCTCCTTGCAAAACAGCTCGAGCTCAGTGAGGTTGGATGGAGAGCGTTTGTGAACAGCAGTTTTCAGTTCTTTCCACAGATTCTCGATTGGATTCAGGTCTGGACTTTGACTTGGCCATTCTAACACCTGGATATGTTTATTTGTGAACCATTCCAGTGTAGATTTTGCTTTATGTTTTGGATCATTGTCTTGTTGGAAGACAAATCTCCGTCCCAGTCTCAGGTCTTTTGCAGACTCCATCAGGTTTTCTTCCAGAATGGTCCTGTATTTGGCTCCATCCATCTTCCCATCAATTTTAACCATCTTCCCTGTCCCTGCTGAAGAAAAGCAGGCCCAAACCATGATGCTGCCACCACCATGTTTGACAGTGGGGATGGTGTGTTCCGGGTGAAGAGCTGTGTTGCTTTTACGCCAAACATAACGTTTTGCATTGTTGCTAAAAAGTTCGATTTTGGTTTCATCTGACCAGAGCACCTTCTTCCACATGTTTGGTGTGTCTCCCAGGTGGCTTGTGGCAAACTTTAAACGAGACTTTTTATGGATATCTTTAAGAAATGGCTTTCTTCTTGCCACTGTTCCATAAAGGCCAGATTTGTACAGCATACGACTGATTGTTGTCCTATGGACAGAGTCTCCCATCTCAGCTGTAGATCTCTGCAGTTCATCCAGAGTGATCATGGGCCTCTTGGCTGCATCTCTGATCAGTCTTCTCCTTGTATGAGCTGAAAGTTTAGAGGGACGGCCAGGTCTTCGTAGATTTGCAGTGGTCTGATACTCCTTCCATTTCAATATTATCGCTTGCACAGTGCTCCTAGGGATGTTTAAAGCTTGGGAAATCTTTTTGTATCCAAATCCGGCTTTAAACTTCTCCACAACAGTATCTCGGACCTGCCTGGTGTGTTCCTTGTTCTTCATGATGCTCTCTGCGCTTTAAACGGACCTCTGAGACTATCACAGAGCAGGTGCATTTATACGGAGACTTGATTTCATACAGGTGGATTCTATTTATCATCATTAGTCATTTAGGTCAACATTGGATCATTCCGAGATCCTCACTGAACTTCTGGAGAGAGTTTGCTGCACTGAAAGTAAAGGGGCTGAATAATTTTGCACGCCCAATTTTTCAGTTTTTTATTTGTTAAAAAGGTTTGAAATATCCAATAAATTTCGTTCCACTTCATAATTGTGTCCCACTTGTTGTTGATTCTTCACAAAAAATTACAGTTTTATATCTTTATGTTTGAAGCCTGAAATGTGGCAAAAGGTCGAAAAGTTCAAGGGGGCCGAATACTTTCGCAAGGCACTGTACCAGTGTGAATGATTGTGTCCATAGAGAAATTTTTTTCTTCTGCTTTTGAGGTCTCCGTAGGATGACTGATGATTGTTATTGATCTTTTTTCAGTGTGAAAAAGGCAGAAGAGTGCTTCAAACAGGCCAGGGAGAAGGCTTCCTACAGTGTGAAACCTAAACATGCAACTGGAATAGTACGTTCTTAGAATTCGTGTCACTATTTGGTCTTGTGTGCTTTTTTCCAACGGTACTTGCCTTCTTCTTTTTTACTTCCCTTGGTTGTGTCTTCCCCTAATAGTCTGTTTCTTTCAAACTGGTGTCAGGGTGTTGAAGAAACAACACTCTGAGTGCCAATCATGCTGCCAGCTGTTAATAACTCAGACCCATTTTTGTTTTATTCCACAGAAAGCAAAGCTGGGTCAGAAGATCTGACGCAGAGAATGGAAAATTATCATCACTAAGCCTATTGCACAAGCACTGTTTGTACAATCTGACAATGACTCATCAGTCATTTTTACATTTATTTGCTTCCAGTATTTGTTTTCAATTGATTTAGACCTGTGGTTTATTGTGAGTTGGTTCAAAGTGGATATTATGTGAATATTGTTTAAAAGTGGAATGAAAAATCACATTCTTAGCCCCCCTTTGATAGCACTTGCACAATTAAATGAAATATTGCTACCAAAAGACACCCTTAAGCTGAGATGATTAAATGTGGTTGAGTCATTCGCCAGAAAATGCTCATTGGAGTCTGAAAATTGTAACACTATATTCAGTATTTTATAAGCCATATGTAGCCTGTTTTCTTCTTAGTGCAATTCCCAAGCCTAGTTTATTAGGATGGCATGGACACTCCCTCTTTATGTCTCCTTCCTTAATGGTGAAAAGCACAGAATTTTATAACATTTGTATAAGATAGGTATAGATCACCTGCCAGATAGAAAGTGCCTTATCTTACAGAGGAGAGGTAAAAATGAGTGCTGTAGACATATCATCTGTATTTAAATGTTACATGTAAAGAAGAAAATCTGTTTTACATGGACTGAAACATCACATGCAAGTTCCATCATGTGTGTTTCAGAACCTATTAATGATTATACATGTTTTACATACAGCACCTTCCGCATTGTGGTTTAATATCCAAAAGGCTGTGCATACCTAAGCAGTGTGATCTGATGCAGACCTAATTTTGTTTTATTCCACAGTATTGTCAACTTGCATTATGTTTTAAGCAAAATACTATGCAGTTTTGCCTTTCCAACTACATTTGAGTGTGTGAACTCCCATATGCTAATAGGGCAATAGGACCATGTGACGTGATCATGTGCAATACCAACAATATGTTTTGATTGAATACCCTTGACCATGAAAAAAATATATTTATTGAATAAAAAGAAATTACATCATTTTTTTTAATAAAAATTCTGCTGTTGATGGTTTCCTGTTTTCATTTTTCCAGCTGTGATATTAAGTGGCACAGAACTACATGCAGTCTAAACACCACTTTTTTTTTTTTATATGAAATAGATTTAATATACTTTTCACATACATAAAATATATATATACTGTATATATTGCATTGCACCTCCATTACACATGCTGCAGTATGTTTTTCCTACTGGCTAGTATATTAGTGGCAAATGTACAGTAGACAGCCATGCTTGTGTACAAGCAGATGGATGTCATTGGTCATTGCTGTGATGCTTTGTTTCTTTAAATCATTTCCTTGACATCAAGGTGTGTATCATCTGGGAAATATAAGTTAAGGAAAAGATACAGGATAACAGATACAATACTTGTAAAACACCGTAAATGTCCAATATAGTTGGTAAAAACATTGCTGGCAAACTGTGTGATAGATCCACCTGCAGAAAAACATGTCACATTACAGTCTCTGATTAAATGTTGAGTCTTTGTTTAATAATACCAGTTCAATGTTTCATGCCATTTTATTGTGGGATGTTGGGAAGATGTTATTTGTACAACATGATGAAGAATAGTTCAACTTGAAGCCAGTCATTGTTTGGCAAAGTATGGCCAATTCAGCCTTTGACAATACTTCTATGTCATTTCAATTTTAAAAGTTCTTCACAGTTTCCCATGGCCACTGACATCCACAGACATGCAGCGACATTGTTTGACCCTCTGTACCTTACGGTGTCTAAAAGAGGGCTGCAGGTCTGGACAGTCTAGCTGCACTGTGAGCTGAGTGATGCGGTGTGGCCTGCAGAAGGAGCAGGACTGGAACGGCTCCTGGGCCTTGTTGTGGCTTTTCCTTCCAGAACCAGAGGCTTGGCCTCGATTCTGACCCTGACCCGAGCTGGGGCCCATATGACGGGGAATATAGAAGGAGTTGCACTGGCCGTAGCAAAAACGGTTGACTACAGTGCGGCTGCGGCAGCCCTCCTCGCTGATTGTCTGACGAAGAGGCTGGGTCTTGCACCAGTCTCTGCGGAGGTAGCGGCGCTCTGTCACCACCAAGGCCTCCCTGCTGGAAGACAGCACCTCGGGTTTCTGCTGCAATAGCCGCTGGTGACGCTCTGAAGACAGGTTCCCTTTGGACTTGTGTGGGGATGGGATGGATCCCTGGGGCCTGGACTTTTTGGTCTCTACGGTGATGCAGAGCACCCCAGCCAGTATGACGGGGATAGTTATTCTCCACAGCATTCTGCAAAAAGAGTAAGACACATTACAATGCATTACATTTCTAAACAGAAAAGATTTCTGAAGAATAAAACATCAGTTGTCGCATGAACAGAATCTTAAAATTATTAACACTGAGTCTGGTGTAACAGTAATTCAGACAGTATGAAGTGATGCATGTTATACTACCATGATATTAATATTGCCAGTCATGTTTGCAATTGTGTGAATGTGCATTCATGTTGAACCACCTTCACAGTCTAGCCTTCCAGGCATCATTGAGGAAATGAATCCATCACCATGGCCCCCATTTGTCAGCATCTCTGTGTCATTACTTCTATTTGCTTTCCTCTCGGCTACGCAACTCTTCCAAAAATAAACAAAGCCCTGCCATCAAAGGATACACTTAAACACCCATAATGAGAAGGGGAAGTTGATTTTATTGGTCCCGTCGCCGGGTAAAATAATTAGGGCTTTGCTTACTTTAGTCATGAACTATGCCGCAGATATGTAAACAGGCATTAGAGAGACCCATCTGCATGTTATTAGGGGAAGAGTTGGGGAACTCTACAGTACCCTTTGGGAGTCCACTCTTCTACTCTTTGGTGATATATTATGGAGCAAGCTAAACTGAGAATGAACCATAGTGTCCACAATCGCCATATTGTCTTCTATATCATTCCAGCACCAGAAAAGAACTATGATCAATTATTCCTCCTACATTCAGGATGGAGTATCCACCGTCAGTATTTGCGCCAGTACATTTTTGATCATCACTCAAGCATCTTTCCCGCAGATGTTGCTCTTGACAAGCATTGCATGACATCAAGTCAGAAATTCTGACAGAGAACCAAACTGCCTCAAGGCCATTGGCTGCTCTTATTCACATACTCTTCCTTGCTGTGCAAATTTGTATGTTCCCTTTCTTCCATTCCAGGACCTGCAACTCACTCTGACAAAGAACAAATGACTTTATCATAATCCACTCTGTTTTTTGCCTCCTCCCTTGACCCTGAGGTCATGGCAGTTCTGTCCGAGCTGCACGAGCACTCAAGTCTGTATATCACTATCCCGGTAGCACTTGCTGTAAGCTAGACAGCAGCTGTTTGTCCATCTAGAAGAGATGTAGTATGAATTCTTACCAGACCTTTTATAGGATATCAAGAGATATGTTGGAGTTGGACACAGAAGATCTACAGTACTTCACTTTTTAAGGCTTACTTGTGCAAATCAGATCTCTTTAATCTCTTCTTGTTTTCTTCATTGAGAGATCAAACCTATGGAGGAAGGAAGTGTTTGGGATTTTGTGTACACTGCCAAGAAATCAAATTTAAATGTTCTATACTTATAATCAAGTCTACTGTTGATATTTTAGTATTTTTATTCTGAGGATGTCCTGAAGACAAATTCATTCTGAAATAAATTTTCAATGAAAACATCACAGTTTTCTTGTTTTCTTTGTTATTAATTATTATTTGCCAATCATAACTCCTCAGATATTTTCATCAGGACATGAACTCAATCTGAGATATGTGCTTCTTCTGTAGGCACTCACATTTTTGCACAATACACACACAAGCCAGCACACACGCCCACACATCATGAGGTTAGAATAACTAAACCAAAGACTCCCGCTGGGTCCTTCCACCACCTACTGCATCAGGGAGTCATGACCCCACTCCATCTTCCAGTGATCTACCTTCCATGTACAACACATTCCCATTTCTCTTTAGCTGCTCCATCTCATTCCTGCTGACTGTGTATTGAAATGCATGAACCCCTGGACAGGGAAACAAGCTCTGCTTCTGTGTGCAGGCTCTGTTCTCGCGCTATACATCGCTTAAGGAGGCACCCTGTGACTCGTGAGCTACAGTCTGCAAAGCCTCAGGGACTTTTGAGGGATGACCTGACCAACTGTGTACACAGGGCATGACGGATGGCCTCTCCACTCCAAAACTTAGTCTAAGCGTGATAGTACCGGTCCCGCCAAGCTATCCTCATGAGTCTCTGCTTCAGGACAAATTGTGGTTTTGGGATAGGGATTCAGGGGCTTTGGGAGGAGCACAGAGGTGGATGGGTGGGCAGTTAGTGGTTGGGGTTATTAGATAGAGGGGAAAGGGGCTGAAGAGATGGTGGGACAGATGACCTACTGGGAAACAAAACCAGCACCACTTGGGCTTCATGCCTTCCACCTAGAGCTGTATATCTCTCCACAAGCTTTATTTCTTTTTCTCCCTATCTGTCTCTCTCTGTCACTCTATCTGTCTGTCTCTTCTTGACACACAGCACTAATCATCACAGAGTCCCGGAGACGGAAGGAGACTGTGGTTTTGTGTGTTAATGCTGAGACCGAACTCAACCAGACCTTTCTGTCTGCTAAACACTAATATTGTCCACAACACAGCTTTATGTTTGACCAGAACCACAATACTTGAGGGACATGCTTCACCAAACTGTGGCAGACCTTGGTTCCAAAATTCAGACCTCTAATGAAATTACAAATACCAGAAACACCAGAGAGACTGCTGAGCTAGACACAAGAAAACAACTATTATCATCAGTGGGAACTTGTTATGTTTTGTTTTTCAGAATGGCATTATAATACCGTGGTAATATTTTCTGTCTGGATAACAATGGGTCTTTTTTCAAATCTCAAAGTGAAATGAAGACCATAATTAGTCATGAAAATCCAGTCTAGCTGCTGAATATTTTAATATTTCTGACATTCAGTTGTTAAAGAATTGCAAAGAAACAAGAATCATTTCAAGACTTCAAATTTGTACACACAGATGTACTTCCACTAAACCATGTGAAACATCCTCCCAGCATGTCTTCAAAGGCAGGTTAAAACAAACAAAACCTGATGCCTCAATTATTGGTGCGTCAGAAAGTCTCACACACAGACTGGTAAGTGCAGTTAATTACAGTAGAACTGCATTTAATTCACCGTGCAGCTCAAACCTCAATCACACGAGGGTAGCTGTATACACACACACACACACACACACACACACACACACACATATGTGACCACACATGTGTGCATACACACACACACACACACACACACACCGACAGACTCAAACACACATGCACAGGATATAAAGAAAGAGGGAAATAGAGGTAAATGAAATGTTTTCTCTTGGAGCCAATTACACAAAGAGGAACCATGTCATTATCTGCATTTGCGGATTGTATTTTCCCAAACTACGCCGGGCTGTTGGCTCATTAACAGTTGTGGGGGAGGGGGGGTCCTTTGGGGCCTTTTTTGTGTAGATGTGTCTAATGCCAACATTGCCAGGAGGCTGCTTTAGGCAGTTTGGGCAGCCATTTGTCACTACAATCCATCTTGATAATGACTAGCAGCCCATATATAATTCTTTCCAAGCTAAGTACTGGCAAGAATGTAAGGCAACTCCTTTGCTTCAGCAACATTAAGTGCTTTAGTGGAGGATGAGGGACAATTAGAGATGCTATGATAGTACAGGTTTTCTCATTTCAGATCAGGATGGCACTACTTAGGTGTAGTGATTAACATCACCTTCCATTTGCACTTGTTTGTTTAATCCCTTAACATAAAGTTTTGCCCCTTTGTTTCCCCTTAAGTAACTTTAGGGTTGCTAAAATGGCCTTATGTCACTCTGTCTGACCAAATCACATTTGTATTCTGTATCAGCTTGTTTCAGATATTTATTGAAGCTATTTCATTTTTACAAGCCCAAGACTTTTAAGGCTTTACCATTCCATTTCATGAAATATTCTTAATTGTCTTGAGCATCATTTTAGATATATTAGGTGTCTTTGAAAAGTTTAGGATCCTCACTAAAATTTAGAACTTGAAATAAAGTTCTGTGGGTTTGAAGAATGTTTGGCTGCACAGCAAGACTTTGGAATCACTGGCATTTTTTTTATTTTTTTTTACATACAAATGTGCCACGACTGGCCAAAATGCTGTATTACTCTGCTGTTTTAATTTTCTTTCTTCAGTGTTTTCTTAGTACCTGTTCATGTCTAAACTTCACATGTTAAGAATGTTGTTATGGCTGATTTAAATAAGTTGGACTATTTTTAGGGTCTTTAGGCTTACAATGAAGTGTTTTCTGTTGCTAAAGAAAGTGCAATGTGTCTGTGTGCTAAATCCTATTTGACATCAAAGTGGACTGTACAAGGTGGTGCAGTCACCAGAGCTGTAAGAAGGATCAGAAGGCAAACCGCCTACCATTTACTGTAGGAACACGCACACATATGTTCACACACCAACTTGGATACACGTCAGTATACACATGACTACACACAAATAGACTAATTATACAAAAGTGAATACACACACACACGGATATACACTTGCACAAAGAGAAAAATTATATAGATTATTTTGTACACGGAGAATACAGGTTCATAATGTACACTAACACCATTATCTCTCATTCTCTGTTTTTCATATTCACTGGAAAAGTGAACTGACTCTTAAGCTCACTGAGAGGCACAGTACAAAATACTGTCATCACTCACTAATTCTCTCACTCACAACACTAATTCCCTGGAACCTCCAGCCACTAATTATAGTCATTTGGAAAACACTTTTATCCAGAACACCTTACAGTACCTTGAAGGCATAGATTTTTTCTATGGGTGGGCCCAGTGGGAACCAAACCCTCACTGCTGGCAAAAATACAAAATAGCTGTACAACTACCGTTGGTCGGGTTACGTGGTTTTGCGCTTAGTCATTCAGAGACTCACTGAGTCACTCAGTCTCACTATCTCCGTCAGTCTATTCCTGCCCACTTGTTGGAAGCGCTCACGTGGGATATGTTGAACCAGCACTCACTTACTGTATCTCCGCTTTTCTCAGTAAATCCTAATGCTGCATGGTACTTTTAACATAGGGTAAAAATCCCTGTTTCCTCAAATTCGCTGCAAAGAATGTCCATCTTTAAAGCATTTATCATTGTATTCTGAAATTTTGTTGACTAATTTACATGTCCACGTGTATCATCGTGCATCATGAACTTTTATGAAAGAAATAGCATGAATTTGGAATTAGTAGTACTAGTTGACATTTTAAAACATCCTAAGAAAATTCTTGCAACTGGTAAAATTGTTAATTCTTAAATATAGTGTTAGTATAGTTTTAAATAGGTGTTATCGCAGTAAATATGAAGTATGGTTTATGTACCTCTCAGCGGGACAGTAACTTGTCAAGGATGCAGTCAAGGGAGATTGTCCACCTTCAGTGGTCCTTGCGTCCGCTTCCAGGTTTTGGTTTCCATGGCAACATAATCTGTAGTATCCTCAGGCTTGTCCGTGCTCCTCTTTTACCCCCACTAAAGATTCAAAGCTTTTGACACGATCAGTTTTCCATCTTCCTGGGCAAGTTGTATCTCTTTCTTACTTTCTCTCTCAGTCTAACTTTCTCTTTTAAGTCTTCTTGTTTGTAGGTTTAAAAGATAAGTTCCAGGTTTCACTTAGAGTAAGCCCATATCTTAGCGCTGTGGAGACTGTCTGTAGTCTGTCTTTGAGAGTGTTTGACTCACTGTAAAGCCTGCCTGAGTTTGAATCCCCACCACCCCCTTCCCTTCTCAAGACTGGGAGGGATCCTATTGGCCCTGGTCATTGTGTGAATCAAACCAAGCTTTACTTCTTTCATTTAAGTTTGTTTCTCTCTGCCTATTGAGATTTTTCTTTGATATCTTTTTTTGTAATGCCCATCAATTCATGATATATCAAACCTATCAAAATGACAGCTTTTCCTTTGTCCTCTATTTTCCATTCCAAATTTTCTTTCACTCTTCCCGTGTTTAACATTTACATTTGCATTTTTAGGAAGTGGATGGCATTTTGCCACCACAGCCGATAAAGGACAAAACTGTAAAAGAAACAATGATCTACTACAAAAACTCTAAATTATCCTCTCTCATTGGCTCTCAGACAACATCACATTAAAGCCCATAATCCCCAATCCCCAATAAATCATTGTATGTGTGTACCCAGACAACACACTAAACGGATGCTTTGAAAAATGCCACAATTCGCATTCCTTGATGCAACTGAGACAATAATGTTTGTCTGTTTTGTGGCTCTTGCTAAGCTGACCACTGGGCACAGAGACTGAAAACACTGACTGTCACTCCTGCCATCAAAGAGCTGAAACATCAACATACCCTGCAAAACCTCAGAGGGATACAGTCTGAACAATAACCCCTTCAGCAGACCAGAGGATGATGACAATTTTTCATGACAAAACGTCATTTGTCTGCAGAGTGCTGTGGTATATTTTGCTGCTCTGTGATGAGGAGGCAGATCACTGCTGTAGGAAATCATTTAATACCATCTAGTGGTAGAAAGCAAAAGTGCATTGTTCAAGCACTGTTCTTGAGATTGTTTTAATCCTGCAGAATGAATGCTACCCTAAATCTTCACAGCTAATGCGACACTTTGTGTATGCATAGTTCAAAATAATCCAACCCCAGGTCATAGTAACAGATAGAGGGCCAACTTTAATAATACAAGTAAGTAAAAGTGTCTTTAAATATGGTATAAAAATAAATGCAGGAGAGAATAACAAAGAATTATGTTCTACATAAGACAGGAGACAGCATTTTTGTAATTTTCAATGTGACTATACAAGTGCAATGAAAACCATATGTGCTAATTGTTGTAGTGAAATAAAATTATGCAAAGCAAAATAAATGCACAATAAATAATCATAATAATCATAATATATGTATATATCTATATATATAGTATATTCATTCTGCACAACACTTCCCATAGCGTGACAAAGTATCTGTGACCTCAGATCATGTAAAGCAATGACATTGGTTAGATTTATCAGTTTAAGTTGTCATTTTATATATCTTTTCTATGTGTTTTTTCTCTCTGACATCATTTGTTTCAGCTGGAAGTGAGAGAGGGGGCTCCGATCCAGCTGTTATGATAGAAGGAACTGGAACACTGGATCTGATATTTTTCATCTCACCAGTCAGTGTCCTCACAAGTCCAGCAGTGCCTCCTTTCTGAGAATACTGGAAATTTATCAGGAACTGTAAGAGGAGAGAGAAGAAGGAACCTCCTCTCCATGGACATGCAACATCCGGTGGACAACAGACAAACAGACGGCCCGGCTCATTGCCCAGCTGAGCCAAGAGTGGATGAACAGACAATGATGACGAAGAGATGAGATGGTCCCCCTCTCCATGTCCCAGAGAGAGAGATGGCATTGATTTTAGCATGATGGCACACGACTGGTCAGCCTCTTGGATGTCAGTGGTTTCCCCTGTGTGAGAAGAGAGATTGAGTTAAATATGTAAGTGGGAATGAAAGACAATAAATACATTTAAATTTGGGTTTAATAACAAAATGATCAGCCATGGACATGGTGCTGGAATGTTATATTGCATGCACTGTGCAAATTTAAGGTTTGAGCTGAATGTAATTGTAACATTACGTATAGTATGTGTATTTAAAACCTGAAATGGTTCTAAAAATAGTGGCTGTGACAAGATATCTACAATGATTGGCCATTACAATACAATAACTAAATGACAAGTACAGTATGCATCATTTTGCACTGGACATTACCTGGAATCAAGAGCCTTCAGAACAAGTTCTTACTTTTCTAAGGGAACAAAAAAGACACTTTAAATGAAGTAAGTTTACCATGCAAATGATTCATACATAAATCATAATATGTAGAGTATAACAATTTGTAAGCTAGATAGACAAGAGCTATGCTTTCCATTCAGACTACCTCAAAAACACAATAGAGAACGAGTTCTCTGCCATCATTATAAAGCTATTGAAAGCCAAGCATTTTATAAAAACAAAACTCTATAATAGCTAGCTATAATATTAAAATCATCTTTGTCAGAATGACAAGCAGAGAAATGTAGGAGGTGTGAGACAGTGCAGATTTTAAGCACATGGATATACCTGTATAATTCTGAATTATCAATCATGTTATGATAGTCTCTGTGGCTCTGCTATTCATAATGGTTTCTACAAGCCTGTCAAGAATCCTGATCACCTACTCCATCATCCACACCTGAAGCAGACTCTATTAATACGTTGTAGTCACTCTCTCTCATTGATATTGCTGGCATGCAGGTGCCATTTTGTTTGACATGTTCTTTGGTTTGACCTGTTTTGCACTTTTAAGCAATTCTACCACATACACCGCTGTATTCAGGAATTTTATATCACTTTCAGATACAGTATAGTATATTTTGTAGGAGACATATAGTTAAACCTACACTAAGCAATATGACACAAATGACTACATGTAATTTAAAGGAGTTGCCTGGAGTGCCATCTAACTCTGCAGCTCAAGACAGACTAGCTTTTGTTTAGGAGTTAATGGAGACCAAACCACAACCAAAAGGAATAGAAACAGAACTGCATTTGGATGCAGGTGTTGTTCTAAATCTACAATGATTTTCTGCCCCTTAGTGGTCAAAGATATCTGTATACACTTGAGTGAGTACAATTATATCAAACCGGCGCCTGTAGCAGAAATATGTCACTACAGGTGAGTGCAACAGCAACTTCCATGCTTGTTTTGTATGTGAATGGATTACTGGAAATGGGTTTAAAGTGTGATTTAATAGACTTTGAAAAGGTGTGACTGTGGGTGCCATGGGGGAAGGTTTTAACATCACCAAGAGACTGCATCATCAGTGTATGTACAAACAACAACAAAGGTTGTAAGCTTGCACCGTCATCTACATGTACTTCTCTGCGTCTCATCTTATTTTCAAGCTTAAACATTAAAGGCTATAAGGTTTTTTTAACCTTCTTCTTGGCCTGTAATAACTCTTGGTAGGCACTGGAACGGATGAAACGGCTGTAAGAATCACTCTTCATCAACTTGTAGATGTGTTCCTGTTGTAGAGACACATAATGTGAAAGAAATTTATAAAAGCATCAGAAACATGATCAACACATTGTGCTGCATAAAAACAATAAAATGCTATACTGACCACCAAAACAAAGCTGTGATTCACATATTGCCAGGAGTTATGACGCTGCTTTTGTGTCACTTACACTATACTTATGTGCAGTGTAAAATTGTACATAACACAAACAACTACAGAAATGTAATTAAATGTATTTGTATCATTTGCACCTGTGCATCCTCGAAGGCATAGCGTCCAGGATCTTTGACATTCTGGGTGGTTTTGTCGTAGCTCTTGGAGTCAACGTTGATGGCACTGGGCGCTCCAGGGGCCAGAAACTCCTGCCAGATCTCTTGAACCCGAGTTGGAACTTCTCTGATGGGACGTTTCTTTAGTTCCTGGACAGCTAGCCAGAACCTACAGACCAAAGTTAACAGTAAGATAGGTGCTTAATACAGTAGTTCTGGACCGCAAATTGGAAGTGGTATAGCTAGTAGTAAACTATGTCAAACAGGAAATTGGCATAAAAGTTAGCAAGGATAAGGTAGTCAGATCCACACTGGTACCATCCCTGGGTATTGTCCATTTACAATGTCATATTTTTCAAAGTCAGAAGTCAGACAGCATAGTCCACAAATTACATCTTTATGTAAACAAACGTAAAAGGTAATTTGCCTTAGGGTTCACATTCAGGTTTAAAATGCTGCCAACAAAGTCTCTTGATATGCATTCATTATGGTTCAGAAAATAATCTCCAATAATAATTCAAAAAATTCCAGTGAAGAGCATCCGATTCTATTTTACACATATTACATTAACAAATTTGGTCCATCATCTTATTATTACAAATGAGATAAGATTCATGGTAAGAATTTTAGTGTGTGTATCACTGGTGGACACCTCAGCAGAGAGGACAAGTTAAGGTTTATAGGGTTATTATGTCCATGAATAGCAGCATGCTTTTTCTTAATAATCTATATCTTTTCAATTAGTGGAGCGTTAATATAACGCTCAACTGCCTGAGAGATTAAATGATAATTTAATCAAACCACATTATAGACCACATTATCTGCTTTGGGCAGAAACAATACAGACATGTACCATCAGAGGGAGCAGAGGGGCTATCCTGCACATTCATATTTAGCTGTTAGCATGCACCTTTGATACTCTGCGGTATTCGTGAATAAACAGATTAACATAATTTTCCTGCCCACCTGTGTAATTCCAGCCACAGCTACAGTTGTGCATATTTATGAAAAAAATGCTGCATCCACCAGCTCACTCTGCTTTGATGATACAATATTACTGTAGGTTACTTCTTATACATAGGAAAAAGCAACAGCAGCAGTAACAACAGTAATAGTTGTTAGCTTCCAAGTTGTTGCTGACATGAAAATGTACCAATAATTAAGCAAGCACTTGTACAGGGTGTAAAAACACAATCAAGTGAGCTACTATTGAGATTGATGATGTCTCTTATCATCAGAGAATCACAGAAAAATTATTAGTTATTATTAGTTAGTTATTAGTTATTATCCAGTACAATCTGCTTGTATTAATGACACTGTGGCCAATATCTGTTCACACAGTCACATCTTGGGGACCCATGTGGGAAGTAGTTAAAATGAGTTCTGCCTCAAACAATCATAACATTAAAATCAATGTTACATGTTAATGTTAGATTATTCTAACACTCTGAAAGTGGCCATAAACCATAGTGACTACTTTTTACTTTTCATACTTAAATACATTTAGGTTATTATACTTCTGTATTTTTACTCTTGTCTATTTTGAATGCAGGACTTTTACTTGGATTATTTTAACATTGCTGTAATACTACTTTTACTTAGGTAAAAGGTCTAAGTACTTCTTCCACCACTGTTGTCAGGTGTTTTAATACACAGACTGACCTAATAACTATATCTAGGTTTTAGTTTTATGATGACGTAAAAGGTTTATTTACATCACTTCGGAGTACACATGACAGTAAAACAGTCCGATATTTTTAATTATAATCAGCTGAAAACAAAACGCTATTTCATCTGGATGTAAGTCAAACTATCTAGTCATGCATGTGAATATTCTTCATATATAAGTTGTCAAAAATACAGATAGAGGCTTTAATATTATTTCAGGCAAAACAATGTTCTCATAAGTAACAAAAAACAAGTATGGTGTGTGTGTGTGTGTGTGTGTGTGTGTGTGTGCGAGTCAGCGCTCGGAGATTGGTGTCTATTTCACTGTGTACCTGAGATTCTCTGAGCTGAACTCAGACTCTAGGAACTTGAGGAACTGCTCTCTCCCCACAGGATCTTTGAGAACCTCATCGATGCCAAAAGCCCACCTCTTTACCCTCTGCTGGCCTGGCTCCTTACTGGAGAACACACAAAAATACAACCTATCTTTCACAAATGAAATATGTGTGCAACAAAACATAGAATAAATGTAAACACATATCAACCTGTGTATCCATCTAATATCTGTTTTGTTCATTTACCCACCTGGCTTCGAGCTCCCAGAGTGTAGCGTCATCTGAGATCCAGGGGTTAGATGGATCTGAAGGCGTGAGGAAGGGGTCATATTCAACATACTGCTCTGTGTAGCCCAGCAAACTGTTTGTTGAGGAGAAAAAACAGAGAACATATGACTTACATCAATCTGTATCACTGATGGAAATCTCACATATATTATAATCAAGTTACCACGTCTGGTGTAATTATGTGCCATACCTTTCTGTGAGTGAATATGACTTAGTTGTTTAATTGTAAGCTTTAATTGGTAAAAGGAGAAGTGAAATTTCCTCTTGAAAGCAAATACTTCAAATTCAAATTAAGGTAGAGTCTGACTAGAGGGATTGACCCAGTATTTGGACAGAGAACTTGTTGCTGATGTATCTCTGTACAGAAGCTCTGAGAGGCAAGTGAGAAAAAAGTCTGATCAGAGTCGTTTTTGTCCTGTGTTTATACCTTAATAACAGGTGAATTTTTTTTTTTGTCAGGATTATTTTCTGTCTAAGTTCCTTTCCTTATATTATCTGTGAAAGAAGTGTTTTTGTTGTAATAAATAGTGAAGTCAAGTGCACCACTACCCCATTTTCTAAATAGAACTAAAAGCATTCATGTTTTTGCCCAGGTAAAGCGCAGATTTCTAGACATAACAGTAATGTTACATAACTTTTAGTTAGAGTGCATGGAGAAATTAAAACTCATCTGGAAGAAAACATAAATGCTTTTAGTCCTATTTAGAACATGGGGTAGTGCTGTACTTTCCTCACCTGTTTCACAGATGAAAACAATGTTTAAGCTACTTCGATAAATTATCCTGGCAAAACGTATTTTTGTTCGCCTGTCAAAATGTTTTTTCATGTGTTCTTAAGTCATATACACAGGAGAGAATACAAATTTAGATCCCAAAAATGGATCACTAGAATGTTTTTTTTTCCACTTTCCTCTCAGGGCTTCCGTACCTCTCTTTTTTTGGACAAATCGACACTTTATGTGACATCCAGTATCTGGCATTATCAGTGCTGACACTCACTGTAGGCATTGTCCGGGCCCAATCACTCCTCAAGGTCATCGTAGCTTAATTCCACACCATGTTAGGCCATTTAAAGGCTCAATAAACAGATCAATGGCTAAATTGAATAAAGACACAAAGAACATCACTCACCTCTCCGCCACTTTGGACATTTTCAGTCGATGCCTGTCTAATTGCAATTGCCAATAGGTGATCTGAAACCATAGCAGTGAACAATTAGCATTAGCAATCAATCTCCATGAATTCACAAGGAATTGTTGGTTTGAAAGTATATTTGCATACCAGCTGGATGATATTTGAGAATTTTAAACTCTGTACTACTTTGTGTTCAGTATGAACATATCATCATTTTACTAAACTGATTTTCAATACAATTATTTGCATACCAAAAATGATGTAAATATAAAGTAACAGATGAAAATTCTTCAATAGTAGAGTGCCATCTGCAGGTCTTACCTGTTCCTGCAGTTCTTCTTCTGTAGGCTGCTTGGCCTCTGGGCGGGGGTGTGGGTTGGGCTGTGTGTACGGATATCGTTTTGCAGCCCATACACAGACTGAGACAACAAAAACATAAATATAACTATCAATAGTAGTAGCCTTGCAGCTGCTGACAAGCACAGCAAGGAACAACAAGCTTGTCTGTTCATGTCTGTTACAGTGTGTGTCAACCCTGACCTTAAAAAAATATGTATCAGTGGGAAGTTGCACTGTACCTTTCTGGTTTTGTGAGGGTTTTTCATTCTGGAGGACTTCTTTATGTCGACTTCCGTTGTATTCACACATCCAGGCTGTGAGAAAAATGAGGAGAAAACCAGAAAATCATGAGTTAATTAAACTTAAATAAAATGTTTATGACTTTAGCTGTTTATGTTTTGCCCTCTAGGAGGACGCCACAAGCGGTAAAGGTACAATTTTTCCTACCATTTTATTAGTTTCAGTTAATCAAATACAATATGCTTGGCTGGGTGGTGAAGTGATTCCGATAAGTCTCCAGGACCATGTGTCAGATGCTTGTTAATCAAACATGGAATGTGCCAATTTTAGCAAAACAAGTAAACCGGCGAACCAGAGTCTTAGTTTGCAAATTCTGGCTGATTGAACAAGTGGTCTAATCTTGGTCTCTTCCAGAAGAACAAAGCAAAGTGAAATTTGAATTAATATTGATTATGTTGCTCAAAGGACCCATAAATTGTACTTATTTTCCAATTAAGCATGGACCAATGGCTTTCAGAGAAATACAGAAGAGGGGACTCTTTAACCTCAGGGGGAAACTAAATGCTAATGCTAAGCAAGAGTGTATGAACAAGGTAAAGAGCAACAGTGAAGCTGACGTGCTGTGACAGTTATTGATGTGGCATTTCCTGTGTGTGGCAGAGGATACACGACGGGGGATGTTCACCTCTTCACACCATTCATATTTCACAGTAATCAGAAATGTATAGCTCATATACAAATTACCTAATCTATGGCGTGTTTGTAACTGCAACATTTTCAAAACATTATTCCTTTGTCACACTGTGCAGTGCATCCCTACTGCCTGTGAAATGTGTGGATGTGGTGGATCACTTTTGCAGGAACAATTAAGATGATGTCGATAATGTCAGCAATGATATCATTACAGCAAATCAGTAATTTGACTCACCACTGGTCTGTGCACGTCCCAGAATGCTCTTTCCTGACTGTCGAGAATTTTCCTCTCAATTTTGTCTCTTTTCTTGTCCACTCTGAAAGAAAAAAAAAGGAGTTCAGAACTGTTTTTACAGAGCCTGTGGGTTATTCCAACACACGTATGATCCGTTTATTCCATCACATGGTTAATGTGCAGTTCATCTGTGAAGGTTGTGTGCTGCTAATTACAGGGAAATCGTAGCAAACCACTAAGTTAAATCATGTCATAATGAGGGTGTAAGAGGACTCACTCATAATGGCTCAATGCGTGTGTGGTTCTTATAGAAACCTACTTCGCTTGTGCTTCTGCTTGCATAAAAATGAACTCCCATTTCCTGGCGAAAGCTCTCTGTAGCCTTGCTAGGCTCTCCTGCAATGGAAACAAAGAACAAAAATGGGGGGGGGGTGGGCTTTAGAGGGGCCTGGGCTGAATATGTTTACTGCACATGATGTGTACAGTGCATGGCTGGATACCATTTTAATGATCACATACAAAAGAAAAAATCCTTGGTGATTCATTTAATAGCTTTGGTGAAAGGATAGTAACAAATGATGCAGTGACACACAGAAAACAAATGTTCTCAGTGTTAGTATGACCAAAAAGGCAAGAGATAAAGTCTGAGAGCCGTGCCAACACAGGAACAGAACAAATACGTGAAGAGGGGAGTGCTGACAATAAAAGACCTCTCTCACTTACCGCTTCATAGTCTGCAAGCTCCAGACGTGCTTTATTTTGCATTGTTCTTTTGCAGAGGTAAACAGCTGAGAGACAGAGAGATTGGTAATAGAGGGAGAACAGGATCTCAGCTTGGTTTTAACAGCCTTAAGTGGCCCTGCGTTTACTCATTTAATCCTCTCAACTGCACATTTAAACTGGCCTGCATATCACAAAGGTCATTGACTGTGCATGGTGTCTGAGCGTCTGTTACAGTGTGTGCTTGTGTATGTGTGTGTGCACACCTGACTTTAAATTTTTTTCTGTCCTGTAATCATCCATTCATCCCTTTGTTAACTGACCATTATGTGAAAACTTCATTATGCCATTAGACTGTTTTCATTAGGAGGCATCATTCACGTGAATCAGTTGCTACATCTGAGACACTCTAACTTCCCCTAACACTCAGGATTATTCCCACAGCGAGCATTAGCCTCTCCTACAACTCAAAAACAAATGAAAGACCTGCAAGGCTGCGGCTATTCACCCAAACCATTTCTGGCATTATGAAATGTTTATCTCCACTCCGCTCTGCTGTAAACAATGAAAAGCTCATCCCTGTATCACCATTAAAACATTCAGCCAAATGTGCCCAATTGGTGCACACATACAAAAACATCCCTCGTTTCCATCACTGTAATCAGTCTGCCTCAGTCAGAGAGTATGACTGAGGCAACTGACTGAAGTTGGAATACATTAAAAATAGAAATATATAAAATAGAAATAAGATAGAAAGCACAAAGCATCATTGCACGCCAACTGCACAATAACCGATTCTAACTGTGGGCCAAGCATCTAAAACAAAATTTGACTCTATCTACCATCCACATACAGCAGTTGCATCATTTCTGTTAATTTTTTGAAACATCAGCAGTAATAACATATCGACTGGACAAATATATTTTATGCACTACAAAAACAGTGTGCATCATTAGTCTCTTCAGTACTGCTTGATGCACAAAGTAGCAGTTAGACTATAACAGAACAACTCTCTCACCATAGTCTGTGTTTTCTGGTTCCCAGCAGTTTGATGGCCAGAAGTATGGAGTCTGTTGGGAAAAACAGGTCATTATGAAACAAAACTAAAAGAAACCTTACTTCGTTGACAGCAAACCACATGGTGTTTTGAATCAAAGTGAGCACTTTCCACGAGAGGTGGGCACGCAGTCACAGCCCTGCGTCTGCCACAATAAAACATTTTGTTGTATAATGGGCTCGGCATAACATCTAAAGCACATAAGCTCCTTTCAGTGAGCACTGAGAACAGACAGCATGAATCTTGACCCTCCTCAGGCTGCATTGTATGGACTGGTTTCAGATGAAAACCGATTACATGTAAAAAGTGAAGCCTGCTACTAACACAAACAGCCTTAGGCATGGATTTACTTTGGTTAGTTCTGTGCAGCACACTTGGGGGAGCTCACTAAAAAATCTTTAAAACTGCCAGTCCCACGACTGACATTCAGAGCAATATAACCTATAAATATTATGGTCCACAGCAACTCCTATTTACCATTTTGACTCCAGTAACAAAGAAGCACTTTAACAGATTTCTCTACTTTCTTCTCTGGCATGTCACCCTATTTATAGACTCCAACATGCTCAGCTATCCGAGTTGGAAATTTGTCATGTGTAAAATAATTTTTGTACTTTATCAGCATGGAAGGCACTTCAGATGTTTTAAATAGAAATGACAATAAAGTATATTTCAAACTTACGAAAAGTATTTTTTCTTTATGAAAAATACATAAAACAAATAATTTTTCAGTCCTACAAATCCAATGCAAACCTGTTGGCAATCACAACTCTGGAAATCTGGATTGAAACTTTCTGTTTACACATAAGTGAAAACCTTCTCTATAGGTCATATGATGACATAACACATGTTAAAGTTTGTATAAAAACTGGCACAATATACCTCTAATAAAAATGTGGATGAAAAAATAGTACAAACTATTTTTTGTTTTATTGGACTAAATCTAATAGTCCTTGATCCCAGCACTACAATTAAGGTCATTTAACTTTAATAATATTACAATAGATTTCTAGAGACTACGAGATAGTATAAGATCCTTGAACACAAATCATCATTATTCTTACCTGAAACCTATAGAAAGTGCCATCATCTTTGAGAGTGAGGACATGGTCTGAGATGGGGAAGAAGTAACCATGTGCAGCCATCAGAGTTCCTAGGTGAAGAGCCTCCACTGGAGAAAACACAAACAAAAAGTCCATTTACAACTTGGTGTACTCCTGTTTCATGTACATAAAACATTCACACATGCATCAGCATCTTTTGAGTGTTCAATGAAATGGCTGTGGGCAGGAAGATTTTATTATTTTAAACAGTATAATTAAACAACACAGTCAACTGTTGTACAGATATTTATACCGCTACTCTGTGTTTCAACAGAAACTTAACATCTTTCATTATTCCAAAACAGTGAGATGTAGTGGGAACTGAAAAATATATTATATATTATAGATCTTTAATGTGTATTTTGGAATCCATAAAAAGATTATGTTGGTTTAAATGCATATAGCTATGTTCAAAAGAAAATATAAAATGTAATTTATCTTTACAGATAAATTATTATCCAAAATATTTACTCACATTCTCTAAGAAAAAATATCTTTTTCAAACAAAATAAAAAATTTAAACCAATATTGTAATCTCAGGCCTTTAAAGGAATTCAATTTTATGTTACTTTTTTAATAATAATTTGACATTTTCAGGTTTGAAGGAATAGTTGTTTGCTATCTAGCAAAGTGTTACAGTGCATGATAAGGTTGATACCGCTCTCATATTAGCTTAGCTTAGCACAAAGACAACAGGGGAAAACAGTTGCAAAATGGTAACAAAATCTATCTATCTATCTATCACCAACTCTTAAGATCAGTAATTAAATGTTACATCTCATTTGTGTAATCTGTACAAAAACAAAGTGTCAAAACAACAATCCACCATTTTATGAAGGTGGTTATGTGTCAGACTATTTCTTTCCCGATGACCACTACCTTCCAGGAGTTTACACTAGCTGTCTGGCCATTGCTCAGAGCCAAGAAATAGACACACTAGACACTTTGTACTGACTAAACAAACAAGATATGTTAATTTGTGAGCTTTACATGTGCTGGTGGGTGGATTTTGTTACCATTTGAAAAAGACTGTTGGTATCTGTTTCCCCCTGTTCCAAGTCTTTGTGCTAAGCTGAGCTAGCCACCTGTTGATTGTAGCCTTATATTCAACAGACAGAGCATGGTATAAAAATAATCTAATTCTCTGCCAGAAAACAGTTTCAAAAGTAAGTGATAAGGCCCTTCCGTAATATAAATTCAATCACATCCTCTTTATAAACACTGTTTATTCAGTTTATACCGAATCATTAAAAGACAAATCAAAATTTTCATTAAAAATTCTCTGATTATCCTGCACTCAATAGTTCCTCATCACAGACCCTGAGCCAGCATGCTGTTTTTTATCCCACCACCTAATTAACTTTATTCACCTTTCATCCCTCAGTATAAATTCATCCTTGACAAAATGACCAGCGAGAAAGAACACCAGGACCTGAATTAGGAGCTGCTGCTCTAATAGACTCTGACACTGCTTTGACAGAAGGATCGGCAGGTCTCCGTTCCAACCAAACAGCACAACAGGAGGTTTCACTGATTAGCCCCCGTTCAGCCGGATAGGCGGAACTCATCAGTCAAATCACCTGGTGTTGTACTTGGTTGGAGAGAAAACCTGCTTCCCTCTGGTGCTCCACACATGGTTGACTGTCCCTGATTTAAAACCATCAGATAATGAAAACATGTAATCATCATCAACAGTGTGTCTCGTCTGCCACCACTTATTTCCTGCTGTTCTCAACCTGTAACCCCTTTATGGTGTCGTCAGCTATTATTCATGTTCAGTATAATGTGTTGCCACTTTTTGGTCATTATTAACAGTAAAGGAAACAGTTAATGTGTTGTTCTCCAGTAGTGTCCTTGTCTGTTTATGTCACTTAATTCGAGTAGTTTAGTATTAACTGAATATTTTGTGTAAAGCCCAGGGGTGGCTAGCAGCAAACGGTAATCTTAACACACCCATAAGCTAACAAATGCAATGGTTGATATGGTCTAAAAAGGTAGAGCTATGAATGCTATAACAGGAGATTACTTAATGCATGCATAAAATATGCACATCTCTGCTCTCTCACTCTCTAACCCACACACACACCCACACATGCATACGCACTGGGTGCATGTGTGTGTGAGATAAATAGAGACTTTCCATTGGCTTTTCCTTTACCAATGAGTTGACTGTCACAGCTTTGAGCGGTCATGATGCGTATGTGTATGATTGTGTGTGTAAGTGGGCTGCATTTAGTAATAAATTATGACTCATAAGTTATTTAAACCTGTCTACCTATAAACACACTCCTTCCCCTCCACTGTACTATTTCTTACAGCAATATTGCCCCACATGCATCTGCATCTGTCTACGAAATACAGAGAAATTCAAGAAGACAGACATTTACAAACAAAAAATCCACTCATCCATACCTTTTTATTTATTATCCATTCAAAAATGTCATTTTCTGGATTGTTATGTCAGATGGGGTGAATGTCAGATGAAAGTAAAGTCAGCAAAGTATGAAAAATTACATCTAGGTCAGTGCTGTTAGAGCTTGCTGCCTCCTATTCTTCAAACACTGGGCTAAGTGCCTGTCTGTATGTGATGATTTGCTCAGCCTCTATGCTATTGTTAAAGTGAAGCTGAGGGTTTTTCTGATGGGAGTTTTAAGGATGGATGTTGAATGTCATCCCCACACATAGTAACTGATAGAACAGGCCCCCCCCCCCCGATGCTGCATAGCCTATTTTGCTCATTTCCAAATTTGGAAATCATCCAGCACAATTTGAAAGGCAGATACATGAAATTTGATAAAGCTGAGCTGCAAGTGGTAGTGCAGAATCCAGTAGAAAGATTTAATTTCTTCGAGTATATAGAACATATTCAGTATGATGGGCACAAAAGAATAAATCTGAAAATGCAAAATCAGACTAATGAGATGGAAGGATAAATAAAAGATTAAATAAGATTGTTTTGTTGTTACCTTTCTAGTAAGAGTCTATAAATATCAATTCCTGGTAGCAAAAGAGCTTCTGGCTTCCATTTAACATATCACAGGCTTTTCTATAAGTTATATAGCTGACTAAACCTTGGACTGGAATTAGTCAAGTTGTCAAGAAAGGCCGGCCTCAGAGTCCAGGGGGAAATCACCCATTGATTTCATCATGTTATCAGGTCTGTGCCAAAAACTTAGCAGATTGGAGCCCTGCCAAGTGGTGTGTGGAAGTATTCTTCCAGCTGAGCTGTATCTAAAGACAAGGAAAGAGACTCTGTAGTTTAGTTATATTTTGATTATAACAGTATTTAGAAATACAGTATGCATATTTAGGATAGTGATAGAGTACATTCACTGAAGTTCTATACTTAAATGCAATTTTGAGGCACTTGTACTTCCACTCTACTGCATTTCACATGATATTTTTGTTTTTGTTTCTTGTTACTTTGCAGATTGAGATTTTACATTTAAAAAATGGCATCTTATAAAATACAATACATTATGAAAGATAAAACCAGTTGTTTAATCATTTTGGCCTGTGACTCCTTCCTAAAATACTGTCTGGTTATAGTCTATAAGCTGAAAGCAGTCCCAGAGAGATTTACCTCTCTAAAAGTCTTAGATGGTTTTATTTACATAATTGTTTGAGGGTAAAATTATTCAATATTTGACATAAAAAAAAGTCTTCAGACAACTCTAAAATATTAATACAAATATGTGTTTTCTACCCCATTAATCATCTCACAGTCCCTCAGACTTATCTTGTGAGTAGAATTTCTATCCCGACATTATTACATCAGACAGATAATTTGTGAATAAATCAGGTAGCTTCTACTGTTCTTAATGTCATTTGGAAGAGAAGAAAGACAGTGGTGTACTCGCCTCTAACCCATCTCTGATTAAAAACAGAGCATGTTACCGGGTGTTCCTCGTAGGGATCTTTTCCATGATGTTGTCAGACACCTGGTATAACAATCAAAGAAGCACTTTTCTTTCCTAAGGAAGTTACAAGGTTTTATACATTTGTATGCCAGGGTAGCAGTGTACAGAGGAGTGATCTCATGAGACTGAAAAAGATTATCTAAATCACTCTACTTTAAGAGTGACTCTCAAGGAAGTTTAAAGAAGGCTGGAGGAGAAATCCAAGAGCATTATACAGAACAGCTTGCGCCCTCTCCATGCTGTTCTGATGGGCCACATGTCCTCCCTCAGAGATCATTTTACTGTTCCCTGGTATTGCACAGATCACATTAGGTGCTCTTCAATACGCAATTCACAACTTTATTAATATGATATAGACTCACAGACAGTCTGACTGTTTTTTGTTGATGTGATTTTGAAGTTATGTTAAATGTTAAAAGTGTTGCTGTTTGACAACTAAATTTCTCCCACAGAGATCTAAATGTTCTAAACAACTATTCTTTTTGTATATGTATGTTTGTATTATGCATGTATTTATGTACGTACTGTATGTAAGTATGTATTTTGGGCATTGTGATAAACTACTTTTTCACAACTGTGATAACATTTACAAAATTTGAATAGTAATGTTACATATTTTTTACTATAATGATATCACTAGAAATCCATTCGTCTGTAATTTCTGCTTTCTCTCACACAGGTACAGAACACACACACACAGAGAGGCAATGACTCCAGCACATGTCAGTCAAACAAAAAATACTCCTGAGAGGAAGAGATTTTATCAAACAAAATTTTACTTGCTGTGCTGTGGGAATGCATTAGATTCTATAAAAAGGACAGTGTTATCTTCTTATCTTATGTGTAGTTCAACATCACACACGCATACATGCACAGATATTCACACATGCATACAGAACATATTGTTTCCCACCTCCCTGTCTCAAAAGCTCATTTACCCAGCTAACTGCTATACAGTATGTGGCTAATGATTATGTAAATACTTGAAAGCTGTCATATATATATATATATATTCTTGGACTCAATGCTCTGCGAACGGTGCGAGCTCAAAGGCCGAAGAAGAACCACCAAAAGAAGAAACCACTTCCCCTTGTACTGTCTGGGATCTATGTTCAGCCCAAGTCAGGGATGAATTATTACAAGCTACCTGTGAATTGGGTTCACCCTGGGGAGTTTCACTTATTGCTACCTGGATACTATGTTGAACAAGAGAGGTTTCACCAAATTTATCTTAAAAAATATGTCCTGCCTTTTTAAAATGATCATTAAAAGCATATGCCTCTTATCTGTTATAACAGCATTTCCTATATTCAACTGGTGAGAAAAGCTGTTAACTTTCTTATTTTGTATTGCTCTAATAGTTTTCCAGAATGTGGAATGGTCATGCAAACTAATTGACGTTTGTGCCAAGGGTTATCTAAATTTTTTATCCTTAACTTCCTAATGGGGGCATGTTTATTTTCATGCTTTAAGAAATGTTGCTGTAAAAAGCTACAGCATTGTCAGTGGTAGGGATCAATTCAGTTTGATACAATTTCACTCTGAATAAATCTTGTAGAAAGCTTGCTCCGAGAAGTGCCTGAAACAACGTCAACAGTCCGACCTTCAGATTTGGGTAATTTTGTACTCCTAACACATATAGTACAATGATCACTCATGTTATTTGGAAAAACACCAAACATATTTATGTGGTGCATTTGTTAAAATAAAATGAGTGTATCTTTTCTGTGTTGGATTAAAGAAAATTTAAAGATGTGTTTATTTCTTTATTTTAAAGAAGAGTCTATATTTTATAGACAGACCTGATGTATTTGTCACTATACAGTGTCATGGAATGTATTTTAACAATAACATGACAGAAGGGCTGCCGACTGATGCTGGAGAGTCTGCAGCGGTTTTTATCACTCTCCTGGCCTAATCAAAACCATAATACAGCAAAGCTAATTCATACTGTAAGCGACTCTGTTAGCTAAGCAGTCATTAGTTCATTAACCCCTTTAAACTTAGGGTTGCTTTCCTTCTTCCTTACCTTCATTTACAGTTAACTGATAATGTAGCAATCTGTTGGGTTTTTTTTCCTATGGGATGAATATATTTTGAGATTTTCCCACCAGTACTCCCATCATGATTTGGGTGATGCTAAGGGCTACACTGAGCCTTCTGTTTACATTATGGTGAATCATAGTGAATTAGGTGCTACACAGATGTAAGGACAACACACAACTGGATTACTTTTGAAATTGCAGCAAACATCTGTATTTGGTGATTATGAGACAAGATCTGGAAGTAAAAAGAGTGTCTTACTTGTATGATTATTAAGTGGATTTATGAACGTTTAACCTTAATGTATCAGAAATACTCATTTCACTCTTTTATTTTTTAAGTTGTAGATCATGTAAACCTATGGCTCCTCTTTCACATTCATCTTCTGAGTGTTTTCAATCCCTTTGTGAGATGTCTGACCAGCACATTAATGAATGGTAATGAATCGAGTCTGGGCCACCGTAAATGCGGAAAAAGTTAATTCAAATAGTTCCCCTGCCAGACAAAACAACTGGCGTTAGAGAAACAATGAATGATAATGATCTGCAATGGTCTGACTTGAAAAAAAAAACTAATATGGCAAAGAGTTACATATTCAAAACCTAAAAGGTCCAAAAGACATCTACAACTTTTGACAAGATCTGGAGACAGAAATATGCAAATGTGGTATTGAATGAAAATAGGATGGGGGACTACAGAGATTACAAAATAGGATGATAATGTTCATCTGGAGTGCGTCAGTATATTATCCGTGGTATTCATTTAGCAAAAGAAAAGTCTAAATCCCCAGTCAACTTTGATATAAGCTCATCTGCCTTTACATAATAAACATGCTGCTATCATGCTGTGAGCAAAATTAATTGCATTTACTTTGCTGTGTTTGTCAGCCCTTCCAGTGCACAACACTCTGTTCCCCACCGCAGGGCAATTGACAGCATGTTTTGTGTCTGTTTGCAAAAGAAAAATTCACAGATTTAAAAAAAAAATCCTAAAGGACAAGAAACTGTCTGTTTTCAGACTCTTTGCAGCATTTTTTTTTTTTTTTTTTTACAAATCTGATTGAGAGAACTGTTACGGAAGAGCATTTTCAGTATTGCAGATGACACAAAACACTATAATACACTATAAATGTAAATTTGCTTGAGGGAATAATATATGTGTTATTGCCAGACCTCAGTAACAGTGCAACAAAAATAAGCATTTTAGGCCCAGTTTAGCACATTAAGCAGAAGTAATTTGGCACAGTTTTTTGGCATGGCATGGAGATACATTATTAATCACAGTGCAGTCTGAGGCATGAGAAAAAGCTAATTTCATACTTTAAATGTGAAACTGTGATTCTCCGCATAAATAAAGACAAAAAACACACAGTCTATCCACTCTAGTAAGTTCAACAGATCTCAAACATTGCAGAGGTGTTTTATCATGATCTGTCTATTTCCTAGTGCCCTTATCACACACAATGATCTAAACACCCACAACTGACAAATGACAGGCAGATCCTTCCCTACAAACGAAACACACAAAGGAATTGTGTGTTGATGAGTCAGCTAAGTATCACAACTATGAACTGGCTGCAGAATACTGAGGCGCGCACTAGAGCAGACACTGGATGCCACCCACACATAAAAGCACATACGTAGCTATACTTCTTTATCATCCTTTTTAATGCAAGCAACTGGTTTAAACTTCTAATATTTATCATAGTTCAACATGCTCACTTCTGAGTCATTTTATGTGCAACAAGAAGCTCAACTAATGATCTGGCAACTCCCTCAAGACATTTGAGTTTTATTTTATCACCCTGGACTAAAATAAGAATAATGTGAAAGAAAAAAAGGAAGAATAAGAATTCCAGTGTCTGCTGTAGCTCAAGGGCACAAAAAGACAGACCAAATAAAAATGCAGAACTGTGGACTTAAAGGTACATATTCCACAAAAGCATGTAGGCCTTTGTGTTCTTCTTTCTTAGTGCAGACTAATGAAAACATCTAAGTTGAATTTGTTTTTTACAATATCTGATCACGTCTCTTGTCATGCCCTGAAAACCACCAGCAATCTAAAAATATACAATAATATACAACTGTAACAACACTGTCAATTTAGTGTTAAGTCTTTAGATTAATATTAGCATTAATTAGAAAGAGACTACACCTCACACTGTTTTCATAGATCTGTGGTTTTCTACGTCTGACACAGTGGCCCCCCTCAGGAGGATGCTTCAGGGATATCAACAGGAAGTATAATGTTGCCATGGAGTCAGCTGTTAGGCTACAACTTGAGCTCTGTTTTTAGTCTATATTAGCCTATAAGTGTTTTGTGCCCTAAGTGGTTTAAAGTAGCCTACCTTAATTGACTCCATGAGCTGTGTGTCACATGTTTGGCTGCAGCTCCAACTGCGGACTGTGTAGTTAAACAGGCCAAATTAGCAGCCAAACAACAATAACTAACTTTGTTGTTTTTCAGAGCAGTGGCATGCACCTGCCTCTTATACCTCACACAGTATCTTTGCCTCACGCCTGTCGACCACTGCACTAGATTAATATTGATCAGCTCTTTTACCTTGATCTTCGATGTCCAGATTCTTGATCATCCACTGTACAATTTCAGAACCTGAAATGAGAGAAAGCACATAAATATGAATCACTGACATATCAAATATATTCACAGTCACAGTGCGCTGAAACACCTTTTTGCATATAGATGCAAATGAAAGAGAAAACAATGGCACTCTTAACCCTACCCACCTCCCCTCATCATCACAGTGCATACCAATTCCTCTCGCCTTGCGCCATGTGGGTTAGTAATAGGCCACCCATTACCAAATTTTCTTTTCTGACACCCTATCCAAGCTGTAGTCCATTAATACAAATGACCAAAGAGACAAATGGCATAATGAAGCATCTATTGTGTACAGTAACAACAGAATTTGTCTGACTCAGTCACATCACAGGCATTGTAGTTGCAATTGTTTTATATAATCAGTCAATGCATCACACCAGACACTTCCAACTGTCACAAACAAAAACTAAGATATAAACAGGTCACAATATGGCCTGAGCAGAAGAGGGGAGAGGAGAGGAGAGATGCATTTAACGTAAAGCAGTGTCATGGTTTTGGGTTTGAGCGTGGTATTTTCCTGTTATATTATTGTTAATGCCCATTCCTGTTTCACTGGCCCTGTGTTCTTGTCCTTTAGTTTGTGTCAGTTGATCATTAGTTCCATGTTCTCTGTTGCTGTTATTGGGTTACACTCGTCCTTGTGTCTTGTCAGTAGCTTTACTCCCTGTATTTCCCTTTATTTTATAATCATCTGTGTCTGGTGTGTTTGTCTAGTTTTGTGTAGACATGTGTCTCACCTGTGGCTAATTGCCCTGCCTGCTTGTGTGTGCGTGTGTGCCCCAGTATATATTGCCCTCAGTTGTTTTCTGTCCTTGTAGTGTTGCCATCATTGTGTTGGGAGTGTGGTTTGTGTTCATGTTTTCCTGTTTAAGTCTGGTTTTGGTTCTGTGTTTCTCTGAGTAGCCTTGTTTATTATTTTATTTATTCACATGTTCTAGTTTACTTAGTATCTGTTTTCATGGGTTTGGTTTTGGATTCTGTGTTTCTATAGCTTTATTTGACCTTGTCATGTTTAGTCTTTTGTTCATTCGCATGTTTAAGTTTTATAGTATCTGTCTTGTCTCATATTCTAGTTTTGTCCTGCATTTTTATCTTATTGTCTACTCCTGGTCTGTGTACTTCTGTATTATTTAGTCCATGTTTGCTCTGTGTTCTGTTTAATAATAGTTCAGTCTGTTTTCCCTGTTAGTGGTAGTTTATTGGTATATTTGTGATCTGTCTGCTTATGTTCTGGATCAGTTGTTAATATTCTGTTCCTTCCTGGTTATAATTAGTTTCTCTATGGCCTTTTGGTGTCATTGGCTGTGTCCGAAACCCCCTCTCATTCACTACTCCCTACCTCCTATGTAGGGAGTTGTATGTAGAGCACTATGTAGTGAACTCACTCGCATTAATAAAACAACACTTTCGGACACTACTTTTTCAGTGGACCCAAAGATTGCTATGGACCTGAGTACAGACTAGCTAGAGAGAGTAGATTAAGTGTACTTCTCTCAATTATTTGCTCAACCCCTCAGGCTGTTTTTATTTTCCATTTAACTCTTTTAACCCTGATTGTACACTGCACTGTAACTTTTACTGTCCTGTTTTACCCTGTTTTTTTTTCTATTTCACCAAAATTATATTTTAATGTGTATTTTTTCAATTTCCCTATGTTTCTTTTATTTAATGTAAAGCACTTTGAATTGCCTTGTTGTGAAATGTGCTATACAAATAAACTTGCCTTGCCTTGCCTTACTCCGATCGTTATTTCGGCGCCGATAATTACGTCATTGCCGTCGGACAAACAGTTTTTTCTATCAGCGCAATGCGTGATGGTATGTAGGGCTTGGTTAGTGACCATCGGTTGTACACTACTTTTTAAAATGCATTCTGGGATACACTGAGTGGACTATATAGGGTATTATAATAATCACTATACATTCAGACAGCACTGCAAAATGGCGAGCTCACTATATAGTCCACTATATAGTGAGTTCGGACACAGCCTTTCTATTTTCCCCAGCTGTCTCTCTGCCTGCCTGTGTCTCATTAGTCCTGATCCCCCTCACCTGTGTTGCTCCTGCCCTGCTCGTTAGTCCGTGTGTGTGTATATGCCTGCTTGTGTCTCCTTGTTGTCAGTGTTGAGTGTTCTGCCTAGAGCTCTGTATTTGCCTGGATCTTTGGATTACCTTGTGTTTTGGATTACCTTGTGTTTGTTGGATTTACCTCAGTTTGGACTTTACCTTGTGCTTCCACATAAGTTTGTTTCAGTTTGGAGTTAATAAATCTTTTGAACTGCACCTTCGCGTATTGTCTGTATTTGGGTCCACACCTTAGACTGCACTCAGCTGACCCCCCATGACATATTGTATATTGAGTGTTCTGCCTGTTTCTGCGTACTCTGCCCAGTTTTTGGATTTATGTTTTTAACTACCTGCCTTTGTTTGGACTTCTGCTTCACCTTGTATAAACCTGAGAATTTATGTTGTACGTTTAAATAAATATCACCAGTTGAATCCACTCTGCTCCGGTGTCCTGCATTTGCGTTTATACTCTGTATTCCTGCTCTGCACTCAGTCAATCCTGACAAGCAGAAGACAAGGCAAGACACTATAGGCTACATATATACATTTTTAACAGATGATACAATCATTAAAAACTATTTTGAGGGGATTTCTTGAGACGACCAAAATGGACATCAAACTTTTAATATGGTGGATGACATTTTGCAATTCATCTTTCATCTGAGAATACAACTGTATCCTTTTCACATCTCAGAAATGCCCCCTGGGTATTTTCACACCCCACCACAACTTTGGCACTTGGCTAATTATATATTCCATGCTATTATTACTCTTTTCCATGCTGAGAGGTGAAGGTGTGTTGAGGAGACGAGAGCCACAGAAGCCAGAACAAAGGTGTGAAATGAAGGCATGAGAGAATTCATGCAGTGAGAAAGTCAGTCCCTGTGGCGGTCTGTCTGTCCATCAGGCTATATTTCTGTCTCTGTGTGTGTCTCTCCATTTTTCTTTCACTGCGCCCCGTTGCTTTTCGGCACCCCCACAACCAGATGAGATTTCCATGGATTAACATCATTAATACAACCCCATTTTCACACTATCAAAGTTGACCCACTTTCTAAGAGAGAGCTTAAATGAGACGTGTAAGGTAATCCTCTAACAAGGCTGTTCTCTGAATTAATTAATATCATGCCAATAGACGGGGCTGTGCATACATGCGTGTGTGTGTGGGTGCAAGCATGTGTCAGAATGTTACAATATTTGAATGTGATAAGCGATAACAATTTACAATTTATTATCCCAATGATGGCAAATATTGGATAACTGCTGTAGTAAATTGTATCAGGATACAGCAATTGAACATATCAAAGCCAGAATGAGAAGGATTTCCCTAAATAATAATGTATAGACTCATACAAACATTTGGGCTATATGGAAGTTTACATAGAACTACCGGTTTTCTCTCAAGAAGTTAATATACAGCTTATTATGAATAAATAACATATAATGCTATAAATAAAAATGCGAAAAGAAAGATTCTTTAAAAAAATCTTTTTAAAGTGTGTGAATAAATCAGTCAGTCAATCTGTGGCATAGTGGGTGTATGTAGGAACGAGGAAGTACAATCAGGGTTAAAAGAGTTAAATGGAAAATAAAAACAGCCTGAGGGGTTGAGCAAATAATTGAGAGAAGGTGTTGTGTGTCCGAATCATTGATGAACCACGCAATGAATATTACATTACATTCATTCATTTAGCGGATGCTTTTATCCAAAGCGACTTACAATTGCTATACATGTCAGAGGTCGCACGCCTCTGGAGCAACTACGGATTAAGTGTCTTGCTCAGGGACATAATGGTGGATGGGTCACAGTGGGGGATTGAACCTGGGTCTCTCACACCAAAGGAATAGTCTAATCCATTGCGCCATCGCCACCCCCTTTTTATCATATTTAAACAGTAGCCTACTTGGAATAGACCTGCAAGAAGCCGCAACGTGCATGCAATTCTTGGCATGCACAACTCGGTACAAGACTCTGAATAGCAAGCAAGCAGAGCAGAAAGCAAAGTCTGCAGCTCTGCAGCTTCTCAAGATTAAAGTGGAGCTACCGTGTGTGTGTGTAACCCAACGCGGAGATGGCCTGTTTTCAGTTGGACAGGTAGGTGCTGGCAGTTAATAAGCACAATTTATACTTCTGCATCGTCAGTGCTTAGGTACGCCGTAGGCTACGCACATAGCCGTGCATATATAGTTGTGCATCGGTGTCTCCGTCATTCTGCAATTACTCTGCCAAACGCTAGCTGGCGGTAGCGCTACAGCGTCCACCGTGGTGACTTTTGCCGGCCGGGCAGGCTAACGGTTTAGCCATCCACTAACTTGAATAGGGGTAAAATATGTCAATGTCGGAGACCCAGCTTAAAAAAAGTTATTATCAAGCATGTAAGGAGCCTAGCTAATAAGGAGAGCTAAGTTAATGTTAGAATACAGCTGTATATAGCTGCTATTCAATATCGACTGCACTCGTGCTGTGTGATTAGAAATGTTTCAACATTTAAAGAGGTGGTATTCTGCTCATTTTCAGGTTCAGAATCTTATTTAGGGGTTGTACCAGAACAGGTTTACATGGTTCAATTTCATACACCAACAGAGGCGCAGCTCCTCTTTTCACCCTGTGTTGAAGGCTCGTTTTAGCTACGGAGTGATACATCTTGCCTCTACATGATCTTTGTTGGGAGTGACTCGTGCACAGTTCCTAATTAAGGACTACTAACCAATCAGAAACAGAGAAGGGCGGGTCAGTGAGAAGCCTTCGGTTCAGCTATATATCCCCTTACCAGCTTAGCAACATGGACTGGAGCAAGAGTTTCAAAGTGGTGAGTTATTAATCTGTAACAAAGTATCTTTCATCCATAAAGTTATAACTGAGTTCTGTCTCTACATCACAGTAACAACTTTATGTCCATTAACTGACTGGAGGGTAGCTAGTGTTTGGAAGGGAGAGGAGGTGTGTGCTGCAGCTCAGTATTTTTAGGGCGTGTCGGACTAGCCACTTGGCGAGCGCATTTTGGGAAACGGCTGGACAAGCTGTTTTCAAGCAGTTCAGAGCAGAGTTTTCTATGGGAGATGGGAACTCCCTTTGGGCTGGACTTTGGGCTTTTTCACTTTGCAAACCTGTTACATGCACAAAAAAGATATACAGCTCAAAAAGAGAGCGAAAATGGCAAAAAGCATAATACCACCTCTTTAAGATACCAAAAATACAATTTTATAACTCAACAGTTAAAGAAAAAATGGGATCTAGGTACACCAGTCCTGTCAGCAATACAGTATTTTGAGAACAAGTGCTGTTATTATAACAGGTGAATATATTGGCAAGTGAAGAAATTAATGTATTTTATAAAAAAATTTGAGGGTCTAAGTGGTGCAGAGGAAAAACACACCGCAGCAACCTGTGTTATGTCCCTGACTGTGCTTACAGCGTGGCCAAGTGTTTCAATGAACACAAGTCGCAGAGTTCACAGAGGGGAAACTACAGAGGGACTGTCCTTGCTGCAGTCTTAGAAACTGCAAGGGGAGTAGTGTTGTAGCATGAAGCAGTCTGAACATTAAACTCTGTACACTTGTACATTTTGTTTAAAAACAGATTGTAATACTTATGATTATGATGTAGTTTTTAGACATGTGGATCCATGTGTAGGGTAAACATGATACTGTAGTTAGGTATAGGTATGTACTATATGTAGGGTAGGTGCAAAACAGCTACAAATACAAGTCATCTGTTGCAATTCTGTCATGTTCCTACAGACGTAGCCAGTGTAGCTGTTCGCAAGCTGTATTGATTGTGTACTATCCAACAAAAAGAGAACAGAAATGCATCTGAGCTGATGTTGCTTGGCCAGATGTCAGAAAAAAATACATTAAGGTATTAAGTCAGTAGATAAATCCTTAATATTTTATCAGAATTTTGAGACCAAAATTGATCTGTATCTGCAGAATAGATTATGCTTTGTAAAGCTCAAACTGTTATTCGCTGACACAGGCTATTAATTTGATACTGTCATGCTGTAAGTTTATATTACAGTATAAAGTGCGTTGTTTATTTCATCTTCATGTGCAGTTATGATGGCCTCACTCCTCTCAGCTTTTGAATGTAGTGTATTGGAGTATCACGCCAGCATGGATTCTTATATATCAGGTTGCACTGCCCGAAAATCCAATATAATCCCCTTGACATTCTGGCACTGCTGGTCTGAAATGCAAAATGGACAACTCTCTGAATACTTTCAGTGCTTTGTTTGGCAAGAACAGAGTACTAGTCGGGTTCTTAGTGGGTGGGAGGAGAGGAGAGAGCAACAGAACAGAGCAGAGAGATAAAAGCCTTACCTGAAAAAACACTTGGGATCTTGGTTAGAAAACTTTTCACTGTTCGGATTGGGATGCCATTTTTCTCATCCTGCATACGTGCTATTACTTCCTCCATCTGGACAACACAGGGACAGTGGCAGAGAAGAGGAGAGAGGGGGAGAACGAGCATGAGAGAGAGTAAGTACTTTTCATGAACTTGCTTTAGTAAGTAGAGGCTGTGTGTGAGCAAGACAGAAAGAGGCAAACAGATACAAACAGGTTCCTGTGTGGTTCAGCCAATGTCTCTAGGGGACAGAGAGTGTGAGGCGAGGCAGTTGGTGACTAGCAATCACTGCTGTTAGATTTCTGCCTCTCATGTCATTTGTCACAAGAAAACGCCAGTAAGCTGCACTTATTGAATTCTGCAACAGCTATTGAATTTGGAAGTACAGCAATGAAGTTTCTTGTCACGATCAATCACGGTATATTTGTCTCGAAACAGTCACACATCAGAACTTTGAGCTGAGAAGAAAATGTACAATGTCACTTAAAAAAAAAATTGAAGACACAAATGTTTGTGTTCAGCGTTGACTTTGAACCAGAAGCTACACTGAAGAATGACATGCACAGGCAAATAGACACAGACATGCACACACGCAAACACACAAACATCTTCACACATCACAGAGACAGAAATGTTCTGGGAGTTATTTCAAGGGCCTGCCAGGGCAACACAAGGCAGCCACATTTCCAAGAACACACAGAAGGGAGCAAAGCAGAGAGTAGAGCATGGCCCCGATAAGCCAGTTGGATTGAATGCCAAGAAATACCCCCAAATTCCTCCCTCAGTGTAAAACGTTTTCAGCAGCCTAGCAACTACACAAACAGGCACACATTAACAAACACACACAAAGAATGTGTTACTTTATGTCCCTCCACCTGTAAAGGATTTTCTGTACTAAGAGGTATTCTTTGGGGATGGTCAATTTCCTGTTTTTTCAGCTTCAGTGATTCTGTCACCGCAAATTGAAACACTCATACTCTTATGATTGGTGCAAAAATCTTAAAATCAATTCTAAGAGGCAATAAAGTTGTTTTTCATAATTTTCTGGGTTTTTTTGGAGTCTAGTACAGAGTATTCTAGCCATGATGTAAAAACAGCAATAACACATTTCCCAGGTCATAAAAAGACTTAATTTTATCTGTGTTCCTTAACTAGACAACTACATTCTATAAAAAGAGAATCAAAAAGTATACCCAAATTACAGGTGGTATACTTGACAATTGGACAAACTGCCAATATTTATTTGGAACACACTGATGGAAATAATAGTTTCTACTTCTACTTCATTTAGCTATGACATCCATCACTATGCATCCAATAGACATACTATAGTACAAAGTTTCCATTTTCACTGGATTTGAGTAGAATGATTAGCTGACTTGCTTTTGCATGAAAGTTATGTTATTTTTTTCAAAATAATATGCCCCAAAGACAACACGTAAAGTGAAAATAACAGGGAACTCGAGCCAGATCCCTGGAGAACAACACATGACGGCTAGGTGGGTCAGAGGAAAGAGCTATTCCAAGAAAACACATGAACCTCTAGCTAGCTAGCTAGCTAGCTGGCATAGCACTGTGTTGTGTAAATGTTGTGTTTTGGTGTTTAAAATAGTCTTTTGGTTTAAAATGTTTCCTTTTGATCTGATTACACCTAACATACAGTATAACCAACTGTAACTTAGTGTGTGATGTCTGTATGTTGTGGCTGTGCACTGCACTGAAGTGCTACGTTGTTCTCATAGGTCTGACTTCATGGATCATCCCCCAATTTTCTTTCCTCTCCATCTTCATATGACACACACATGACGTATCAGTGGAACTCATCTGGGAAAAGTAACGCAATTTAAATGCAGCCAATTGTATTCCGTACAAGTGAAGGTTTTGTGTGGTCGAAAATGAATTTCTGTGGCCATACTGTTGAGACAGGAGCAGTTGTGATGTAAATATGTGACTACTTGGGTTAGGCAGTTCATGAGCTAGTACTGTAGCATAATGCTATAATGAAAGCTTGTAGCTAGTCAAATACCCTAGAGCTAAATATCATCCCAGTTAGTCACTGGAGCCTAATTGACAATGATGGAGCACAGGCAAATATTGTAACTAAAGAGCTGCCAGAGGAGAATTGAAGGGCCAGCAAGAGAAAGAAAAACAAAAAAATGCCTGAATTGATAACAAAAATACGCATTTCCCAATTATTTCAGTCTGTTCTGTGAATCTCTTTCTCCCACAGATGTAATGCATGAGGCAGGTCAGTAGGTCTACCTCTACAAAATGCTTCTGCTTATTTATTGATTTTTCCTATTTCCACACTTAACCGATGTACGGACTGTTCCAAGTAAGACCCTACTGGTACCACTGTCACACCAATGGCATACCAACATCTTTACCAGCAGGAGTCTTAACGGACAACAATGTACACCAGCCACAAGATGGGTTTCATTTTTAATAAGGAACACTGCTGCAGTCATAGACTTTCACTACTTCGTTAATAGTCTTTCTGGGAAATGTAGGAATTCACCAAATTAGGCAAGTTGACAGGGTACATTTCAAAGAGAGAATTAAAAAAAGATACTTACAATATTTGATCAACAGAAAATGTCATGACATCTAACAGTTTAAGTATCAGAGGGTGAGATTTTCTTTGGTGTTCCTCAACCAACACTAGATAAAGTAAGACAAGATGGTGGGTTTCAGAAGATAAAGACGTGTTTAAAATCAGTAAGAAACTCCTACATGCTAAAATCAAA